GAAGTAGAAAGCGTGGTGTGTTAGGGCATGGAGATGTGACATGTCAGGTGGTGGTAAAGCAACAGGATTAAATGGGGGTGCAGGGACTCCCTAAAAATCTGACCTTTAAGTGAAGATGTGAAGGGAGGTGCCATGGAGCCTCCTGGTGGAGAAGCCCACGAGGCTGGAGAAACTGCAAGTGCAGAGGCCCTGAGTTTGGACGCTGCCTGCCATGTTCAAGGCCCACGGGGAGCCATGGCACCTGGAGCAGAGCGGGGCACTGACACTGGGGCCAGATCAGCAGGGCTCTGTGGGTCGCAGTAAAGGCGTGGTGGCTTTCACTCTGTTAGACTGGGGCAGCGGAGGAGTGTGGGGCCAGGGAGGGCCGCAGCCCGACTTAGGTTTTGAACAGGGCCCCTCCACCTGTCTGGAGGAGAGTAGACTGGAGGGCTGCAAGGGCAGGAATAGGGAGAGGGGCCTGGGGACTGTGTCTGGAAGAGTTCAGAGTGGTCTGGGCTCTGTGGTGGCCGGGGAAGGGGGAGCTGCCAGGGTGGGGCTGACAGGTGTGCAGATGGCCTGCCTGTGAGACAGGACAGGAAGAAGAGTCAGGGTCACCTCTGGAGCTTTCAGCCTGAGAAGCCCCGCCCCTGCCCCCCGCCCCCGCCCCCGCAGTGTGACGTTGCACAAAGGAGGGAGCGGCCTGAGAGGTGGGAGGACTAGCTGGCGGGGGTGGGTCCTGGGAGCCGGAGGAAAGGCCTGCCGGGGAGGGAGCAGCTGCCTCAAACTCCACCAAGAGTCCCCACTGAGAAGGAGGCTGGGGTGTGAGGACTGAGATGTCGCCTCTGGACTTGGAACCCAGGAGTCACAAGGTGGAATGAGAGCAGGGGGCTTCAGGCGGCCCGGCTCTAGCTTGGGTGACTGGGCGGATGGTGGCGCCCTTTCCCCAGTTAGAGAAGGAACAGGAGAAGGAGGAGGAGCTGGGAGGCCATCTGAGCATCACTGTTTATTCTTCTTCCTTTCTGGAGCATCTCACCAGCTGGGGCCTTCGCACAGTCTGATTACCTCTGCCTAATTCCACGGCTCTTCTGGGCCCACTAACCCTTCTGTGGCCCTGGTGTAGGGACTGTCTGTTGATGGCACGTCCCTGTCCTCCGTGAGGGCCACTCTTCCCACCCCTCCTTTCCAACCTGGGCGTGCTCGTCTCAGAGAGATCCCAGTGGGTGCCGCCCCAGCATTGGTTGGGACTAGCCCTGGTTCAGACCGCAGCTCGACAGTCGCTCACCGGGCCTCTGGACGGCGTCCCTGACCTTGCCAGCCCCGCCTGCTGAGCCTTCGTTTCTTCTGGATTAGGGTCAGCGTCTCTGGTACCCCTGGAGGGCATCTGAAGGGTTTCCATAAGCTGAGGTGTGGCGCAGATGGGGCATGGCCCTGAGGGCAGCGGTGCCCAGAGCTGTCCCCACGTCTCAGCCCCCAGCTCCCCTCTGGCCACCGCCTCACCGCGGTCCTGTCTCCTCTGCAGATAGAAGACTTCCGCGCCACCATGGCGCAGCGCCTGGTCCGCCTGCTGCAGATCTGCGCGGGCCACGTGCCCGGCGTCTCGGCCCTGAACCTGCTGTCCCTGCTGAGGGGCTCCGAGAACCCCTCCTTGGAGGAGGCCCTGTGAGGCCCCCGGCCGCCCTCCCCCGCAGCTGGGTGCCCGGGCCAGCAGTCACTGTTGCTGGAGACCGTGCCAGGGCTTGGCAGGCCTGGGTCAGCGGGCAGTTCCCTCAGGGCCTAAAGTCCTCGAGTTTCAACAGGAAGTGCCGGGGGGCGGCAGGGAGCAGTCCAGCTTGTGGGACTCCAGCCCCCTACCCCTCTCATGCCCACCCCAGCAGAGCCCCAGGTCTTCGTTGATCTGACTTGTTACCTCTCAAGACTTCATTTGAACAAAAGGTCCGTGGCTGAAAGTTTGAACGTCACTGAACTCATCCACCACTTTGATTTTGTAGATGAGGCAACTGACTCCAAACAATTAAGAGTCAGAGCGGGTAAGGACTTCCCTGGTGGTCCCGTGGCCAAGACTGCACTCCCAATGCTAGGGGCCCGGATTCGACCCCTGGTCAGGCAACTAGATCCCACATGTTGCAACTAAAGATCCTTCGTGCCTCGACTAAGACCCGGTGCAGCCAAATAAATAAATAAATATTTTTAAAAGAGTTGGGCAGCGGGAGCTTGAACTCTATGAGCCCAGTCCGACTCCACATCCTGGCCTTGCCATTCTTACAGGACCCGCGGAGCCTCAGTTTCTCCAGGTGTTAGATGGAGATTGTTCAGCTTACCTTGCTGGCGTCGTAAGGGTTGAGTGACATGGTGGTAAAGGTGAAGTGCCTGAGGTGTATTGTATTACTCCTGTGCTTGTTTGGGTGCTCCATGTATCTCATAATAAATGTGTGAATGCTTGCACGGCACCAGGTAAGCACTCCACGAACAGTTACTTGAACTATTATGTGAAATCACACAGAGCTAAGTTACAAAACTGGTGCACATCCAGGAATTACACCATGAAGTCAAGCTAGAGAACCTGACCGAAGGCTGGTTTCTGGGCTGGCCGCAAGAGACTGCCATGACGGCTGCTTTCTTTCTCCTCGGGGTCTAATTAGAATCTGTGGCCATGCTGAGATGAGGCTGCAGAATTCCTGGCAGCCAGGTATGAGCTGCAGCCGTGCCCCTGTAGCTGGCTGGACACTCCCGTGGGAGCATGGGTGAGGAGGAGGTCTGGTGGGAGAGGAAGAGAGCCAGATCCTGGTTCCCTTGGAGCGTGCCAGCACCCTCCCAGCACCCCCTCCATCCTCAGGCCTCAGGATGGGCCCTGCTTGATGCCCTGGGCACTGCCAATGCCGCAGGGCCTCTGCTTTGACGTCACCATGGCAGCCACAGCTCACGCGCTTCACTGACGGATGGGCCAACCTGAAACTCGGTGCAGGCGTCATGAGGATGGGGCCCACCTTTCTCCTCTGACGGCTCCTCTCCACCCCGTGCTCACTCGGTAAGGTTTGCCGAGGCCTGGCTGGTCTTCCAGGCTGCCCCCACCGAGAACCTCAGCAGTGGCGATTTCGGTTCAGGTCTCAGACGTCACCCGACCTCCGCAGAGCTTCACGCTTTACAGAGCGCTTCTCACACAGTCACTCCTGCCGCCTGCCCTCCCCGCAGACCTGTGTGAAGTTGACAGTGTTTCCCCATTTCACATTTAACGAAACCGAGACTACTGTCATCAGAGGCATATCCACAGTCACACAGGTAATCAGGCAGAGCCCACCCCTGGCCGCAGTTCTCTGCTTTTTCTCTCTGGTGGTTCTCTTGTGTGCCCAGTCGTTGAACAGAGGTTTGGTCATCTCCGCTGGGCAGTGAGAACCCAGAAACGATGGACACGCAGGCCTTGTGCGGGAGAAAGCGGCCCGTGTGGAAAGACGGTCTCCTGAAGTGCCGTTCCCACTGGCTGGGGCCCCGTTAGCACAGGGGCAGGCCTTGTGGAGGGGAGGGCGGGGAGCAGGGTAGGAGCCTGGGGCTTGAGCCAAGAACTCCCTCAGCATTTGGGGAGGGAGGCCCCCTTCTGTGCCGAGGTCAGGGTGGGGGTCTCTGCAGGGATGGACAGGATCAGCTGAGGCCCAGGAGGTCAGCTTCCCAGAAGGACCTGGGGTCCTAGAAACCGGCCTTGTCTGCAGCCCCTCGGAAGCCTGGGCCATAAAGGGAGGGGAGAGGAGGGCGGCGGGCTGAGGTGTCCAAGCAGGAGCGAGCAGGGGTGCGGGCACGCCCTGCCTGCCACATGGGCTGGCGTCAGATGGGGTCCTTCTCCGAGCCCCCGCCCCGCCCCCAGTCAGCACGGGGCTCGCTCGCTCACTCTCGTCCCTGTGCCACATTTTTTTCGCCACCTGGTGCCATTTAACAAGAGAGATGGCACCACATTTTCCAGCCGCGGGCCTGGGAGCCTTCCAAGCGCTGGGGGAGCACCGTGCTCTCACGGCTCCAGCGAGCTCAGCGGGGCCCCAGAACCCTGGAACCCCGCCTCTGCCTCACAGCGGAGCTGAGCCCCCAGGCCCGGGAGCTGGTGTGACGGAGGGAAGTGACGGAAGGCCTGTCTCAACGCCCCTGTGGTGCCTGGCACAGGTGCCTGGTGCCGGGGCGGGAGATGGGAAAGGCTGCCCTTGACTGCTGACAGGTCACACGCTCGCAGGCAGGCCCCTCACGCTCGATGAGCCTGCGTTTCCTCACCTGTAGCCTGGGGTCAGGCTAACTGACCTCTCTTCCCAGGCTAAGTGCCTCTTCCCAGCCACTCATGACAACCGAGAGGGAGAAGCTGTGATGTTAAACAAAAAAATAAAGCTAGTGGAAGACTCCTCAGGCTGGCCACAGTCATGGGGCGGTCACGTCGGAGGTGGTTACTGATGGTGGGCATGGACCCCTGGGCAGCAGGCCCAAGGCAGTGGGCAGCCTGAAGCACCATGCTCCCTGAGAGCCCAGGGGAGGGAGGGAGTGTCGGGGCCCCCGCCGTGTGGGTGAGGCATTGAGGCTGCCAGAGGGGCAGGGCTTGCTCAGGGGCATAGGTTTCTTTGGGTCTTCAGGGCACCTGGTTGCAGGCAGCCCTTGAGCCCAGGCCCGAGGGGCTCAGGCGCTCTGTAGAAGGCGGCCCAGACCCAGGCATCCCGGCCCCGGGCTGACGCTATTTCCCCTCCCCACCCAGGAGGGGGCTCCGAGCCTGGCACCTGCATCTCTGCCACCCCTCAGCGAGCAAAGAAGGCAGGGGCGACCTGGGGCTGTGGCTGAGACAGGGCAGCCTGGCCACAGAGGGGAAGTGATGCACTGGGAAAGGACCCGGCCTTTGCGTCCCACTGCCTCAGGGTCTGCGGCCAACCTGCAGCATGACCTGGGGCAGCTCACTTCCCATCCCCGGGCCCCACGGCCTGGCGAGGTCCTCGAGAGGCTCAGAGAAACCCAAGGGCTGGGCACGGCACCTGCCGGGGTCTGGCCCACCACGTCCTCCGCAGATGGTGGCCCCGGGGGTGGACAGGGTGGGTGGTTGGCTGGCTGTGCCCAGGGGTGTGGAGCGCGAGGTGAGCGTAGGAGGTAACTGAACTAAAGCCCCGCCGTGGGGTGTCCCTGCCCACACATACCTGGTACCGGGCCGGACTCCAGCTCAAAGGGACCCTTTCCAGAAGACGCCTGCTCACCTAAGCCCTCCCCCACTGCCCCTGCGCCGCTCAGCCTCCCCTGGGGCTGCGAGCGTGCAAGCAGAGAATCATTGTGAAAGGACTTCTCACAGACATGGGGCAAGGCCGGGGGAGGTGGGGGCGGGGGGGGCTGCAGAGCCTGCTTCTCCCCAAAGCTGTGAGTCTCACTCGAGTGTGACCCTAGGGATGGGGGTGGGGTCCCTGAACAGCTGCTCTGGGCGGGAGAGCGGGTGGCCATCCCTGGTGCCCGTGACCCATGTGGTATCGGGTGGAGGGGTGCCAAAGACATCTGGGGGGCTCTGGGAGCTAACATGTAGCAGGTGCTTGGTCTGGGTAACAGCCTTGCCCGGCCAGGCTCAGAGGGGACCCCCGCACTTGGTCCTCTTCCGTGCTGGACTAGACCCCCCTCCCCCACCCACCGTCGATGTCAACCAACAGAAGTGGTCTGGAGGGGAGGTGGCAGGACGGCTCAGGCCCGAGGGGCTGCCTGACTCACCCCTCCTCCCGGGCTTGCTTTGTTCTCTGCAAAGGAAGGATCGGGGTGCAGGGCCAGGCCGTGGTGGGCGTGCACGCTCCCGTCTCCCTGGTTGCTGCGGCCGGTGGGTCCCTGGGCCTCGCCCGCTCCTCCCCAGACATCCTCAGGGTCACTCGCACCTCTGTCCTCCTGTTCCAAGGCCGCACCGGGCCTTTCCCAAGGCTCCGGCCACCCCCCCGTCGCCCTGCGCTCCTGACGTTTCCTCCCCAGCACGTCTCACCTCCCCACCTCCTCTGTGGTTTGTGTTGGGCCTACGTCTCTGGTTCCCTGCTGTCGCCCCAGAACCTAGAACACTGCCTGACCCGCGGTACGTCCCCGGCCCCTCCTGGCTGGTGCCCTGAATGAGGCCTGGGGACAGCTGGCCCCTTGGGGGGAGATCCTGCTCCCCATCCGCCCCATCCCCCAAGTCTCGGCACCTCTGCCCACCTTACATACCTGGAGGCCTGGCCCCAGAGGGTGGGGGACGCCTCTCGCTGTGAGGCTGAGGGGCCGGGTCTCCTTTCGGACCTCACGTGGAGGGCCCACACCCCCCAGCCAGGGGCCAGGCTGAGAGATCGCTGGGGCTGCCCTGGTCAGGAAGCCCTGCACTGCACCTGTGTGAGCTGGTGGCGTGGGGGGGGATGGGGCCTTGAGGATAGGCTGAGGGGCCCGAGAGCCTGGGTGAGGACTTCCTAACTGCCTCCCGGACAGACATCCTCAGGGAGCACTCCCACCTCTGTCCCCCTGTTCCACGGCCTCACCTTGTGTAACTTGGATTCAAGGGGAGAGGGACTTCTGGCCTCACCAGGACTTTGAACTGACCTCCCTGCCTCTCCCAACACTTCCCTGTGTCTAGAGGCCCCACATCACACCCTTCCCACTCTTCCTGGTAGGAAAGGAGACCTTCTGGCAGTGTCCTGGATGTCAGAGCTAAAATGACATCCGTTGGCCAAAAGTTTAGTTCGGATTTTTCCATAACATCTTATGAAAAATCTGAACTAACTTTTTAGCCAACCCAATACATGAGAAAGGCAAAGGAGGGCTTCCCGTAGCACAGTGGATAGGAATCTCCCCGTCAAGGCAAGAGACATGGATTCAATCCCTGGTCCAGGAAGATTCTACCTGCGGAGCAATAACTAAGCCTGCATCCCACAAGTACTGAGCCCTCACTCCACAAAAAAGAGAAGCCGCCGCAATGAGAAGCTCACACACCGCAACTGGAGAGAGCTCTCTCACAGCAGTGAAGACGCGGTGCAGCCAAAAAATAAAGAAAAAAAGGCAAAGGGAATCTCGACTCTGGGGGTGCTGGCCGCTGTGACAAAATGAGAGAGAATTCCCTGGTGGTCCAGCAGTTAGGGCTCCGCGCCTTCACTGCCGGGAACTAGATTGGAACCCAGATTGGAACCCTGGTCAGGGAACTAAGATCTTGTATGTCATGTGGCTTGGCCCCCAAAAAGAAGATGAGAGAGCCAACACAAGCACTGAGACCGACAGGTCAGTTCACAGCCCGTGGCCCCTCTCTATGAAACACAAAACCTGATTTTCTCAATGCGCGTAGACGAGAATGTAAAGGCATAAAAATAAGACTGGGATGAAAGACTTCAACAAAGTGAAAACGGACCCCCTCTGGGGAACGGCAGAGAAATGCCCTTCTTACTCATCCACGTCAGTATTGTGTGAGGGTTTTTTTCATGAGAACATGTTCAGATATTACTCACAAAATTACAAATAAAACTAATTTTTAGGTAAAGAACACAGGCATCCCAGGTCTCAGAGCTCTTTCACATCCAGATCTGGGGGCTGGGCCTCTCTGCCCCTGGGGCCTCTCCTCTCCACCCCCCTGACACTGAGCTTGTCCACCAGGCAGAACGTCCTCACTTCCCCACCCTGTCCTTGAGGCTTGCAGGGCATAGGACACAGACCCCAGCCAGGCCCCCCTCCCCCCGGAGGTACAGGGTCATCCCTCTGCCCCTCACAGCCCCTATTTCCCCATCTGAAAAAAAATGACATCATGATAGCACCTGTGTCAGAACCATGGGGAGGGTGTTTTGGGGGGTATTTTGGGGAACACAGATCAAAGGAGACTCCGTTTTCCCTGACAGACTCAAATTAATCATATTTAAAAAACAAAACAAAACTCAGTGAATGAAAACTTGAGAACACTAATAGATTCAATTAGAAGGGTTTTTCAGCAACGAAGTCCCTAATTTTCTACTTGCGCATACATAGAGTAATGATACAAGTTAAAGTCAAAGCTATGGAGAGCACAGGGGACATTTGCTTGAACCACATTTGATTTTAGAAACTTAACTCCACCCTCTTGGTCATATTTCACAGTTAAAAAGTGATACAGAAGGTGAATTTTAAAAAGTAATAAATTTGACTTCAGAGGATATGAAAAAATAATTGAGGAATAAACTTCTACCATATGGTCTGATGGTGAAATTTCTCTCTTCTTTTTTTTTTTTTTTTTTTTTGTGGCAGTACATGGCATGTAGGATCTTAATTCCCTGAACAGAAATTCAACCCCATGCCCCCTACAGTGGAAGCTCAGAGTTTCAACCTCTGGCCCACCAGGAAAGTCCCGAAATTTCTTAACCCCTAAGTCATCCAAACAGAGATTCAAGGTCTCCCCGCTTCCCTATTTAGGAAGCACAAGTGAAAAGGTTTGGAGTCAGGCCCTCGCAGGCTCCATCTGCCTGTCCTCAGCCCCTGCCTCTGCGGGCATGCAGGAGGCGCCCGGGAAGCCTGTGTGTCCAACGAGGACCTCTTTCCTTCCAGGAGGCCTGCACCACCAGGCGCCACTCTCCCTGAACGGCCCGAGGCCCTGCTGGTCACCTCCCCTGCTCTCTGCCAGGGTCAGAGCAGCCGCAGTAAGACAGAGGCCCAGGGCCGTCCGTGCAGGGGAAGCTTGTGTACACGACCCCAGACCTGGGCCTCCCATCCCCTAGGCGTAGGTTCTCCCCAAGTTTCCTGAGACTCAGCTCCCTCTGCCCAACTGTCCGACACCCAGCTTCAAAGAAGGGGCTGCCCAGGTGGCGCAGAGGTAAAAAGCAAACCTGCCAAGGCAGGAGACACAGGAGATGCAGGTTCGATCCCTGGGTTGGGAAGAGTCCCTGGATGGAGGAGGGCATGGCGACCCACTCCAGCATTCTTGCTTGGGAAATCCCAAGGACAGAGGAGCCTGGTGGGCTACAGTCCATGGGATCCCCAAGAGACGGACTGAGCGCGCGCGCGCAAACACACCCACACCCACACACACACACAGGTTAGAAGACATGCCTGGTGCTACTAAGGGCTCGGCCTTCCCACGGCTAACAGGTAATAGCGGCATCAGTGGTGATGGGGTGGGGAGGGGGACCCAGTCTTCTAGTCTTGCCCCCGCCCCTCTGCCTCTAGGAGGGCTTGCCTTGCCCTGGCTCCTGTGCAGGCTCCTGGCTCCCCCACCCCTTCAACACACACCCACACTCACACCCACACCCCCGCCCCAGACCCACTTCTCCTTTGCAGTTGCCCCACCGCCTACACCTTCCTGCCACGGAGTTGCTGGCCCGTGGGCAGGGGACAGAGAGGCAGTGGGCCCCGGGCTCCTCAAGGCCGGCCGTCTCAGGGTTTCCGGAGCCAGAAACCTGGGAGGGGGCTAGCCCTGCTCCCCTCATTCCATCACGTCCCTCTTTCCTCCGAAACAACTGCTGGCTCATTCCCCGGCCCTGGGCTGTGGTGCCAGCTTCCTCACTGTGCTGCCCACCCTGGTCAGGCTGAAACTCCACAGCAGCGGGCAGAGGGTCCCTTCAAAGGCACAGCTCAGAGAATCTCACCCACTCCAACACCTCCTGGGGCTCCTCACCCCGCAGGGCCTGTGGTTCAAGGCCTGGCCCAGCCCATCCGCAGCCTTGGGCCCTTAAGGCAGCGGCCAAGCCAGTCCCCAAGGCAAGCTTCCCCTTCCCCCTCTCTTGCTTGTGAACTTGTCTGTCCCACCTTCTGTCTGAAAGATTTCCCTCCTGCTTGAGCCACTAAAGAGCTACTCCTGGCCCTGAGCCCCCTCCCTGCCCCCCGGAAAGTTACTCTTTTCTCTGTGCACCTCCAGCCCTGAGTGCTTAGGGGTCTGGTACGGCCCACCACGAGGGCACCACGTCCATGCTCCTTCCTGAGGCTCTCTGCTGGCCCCGTTCCCCCGGCCGCTCCAGGTAGGGGGTCCAGCATCTGTCCAGGAAGGCCAAGGGGGCTGGTGTGTCTGCCTGAGACTCGGTCCGAGAGACACAGGTGAGAGACAGGAGGGGCAGCCCCAAACACTAGGGAATAGAGTCAGACAGGAGGGGCCCCGATGAGACACAGGGGTGAGCAGGCCTGAACACACCCAGCCCTGGGGAAAAGAAGTCGATGTGGGTGGCCTGCATACTGCCTCCTGGGCCTTGGTCTGTCTATCTGTTTATCGGTTGGTCTGAGTCTCCCTCTTGCTTAAGAGCTAGAGACCGAGGTGTGCCTGGACCTACCCCATCCGCGCACTCCATTCCAGCCAGTGCTTAACAGGCAGGTCTGACTGGGACACTTCCTGCTGAAAGCCCTCCATGGCTCCCCAGTGCCCTTGCAGCCAGGGTCTTGGCTTCTCTCAGTTAAAGCCCCAGTCCCGCCCCCAGTCCCAGCACTACCTGGCCTTCGAATTTGGCCAAAGGCCTTTGTTTACACTGCCTGCTCCAGTGGATCTCACTCCATCTAGCAAACACCTGCTCGTCCTGTCCACAAAGCTTCCCTGTCCACAAAGCCTCCCCGTCCCCTCTGTGGGGATCATCTTCAGGGATGCTGTGGCCGAGAGGCACTGCCTCCCCCATCACCACCTCCCAGTGCGGGAGCCCCCAGGGGGCCTGGGACAGTGTGGGCACTCCAGTTGTGTTTGATGAACTGACCAGCGCTGCCTGAGAAGGACAGGAGGGCTCCCCGGAGGAGGAGGCAGGAAGGGGAAGAGGGCCAGTGAGGATGGCCTGGGACCACAGTCTGGCCATGGCGGGGCAGGACGGAGGAGGCCACCCCAGAGCTCTGTGTCCTGCTTAAGGGGCCCATCCTCTGATAAAGCCCCGGGTCTCAGTCCCAACCTGATTTCACTGCCCAGAAAAGGGCCCGCCCAGTGGCTGTCTAGGGGCGATGGTTGAATGGAGAAACCACATAGAGAAGGTCTGGGGTGCTGGGCCACGGGCTAAGAGTGGTCCCACTCCAGCAGGCAGGAGGGCGGGCTGGGGCGGAGTGGGTGGCGCCTTGCCCGGTTTCCTCCCCGCGGGGCAGCAGAGGCCAGAGTCGGCCCGGAGGGCGGCGGGGGTGCGCGCGTAAGGCTAGAGGCGTTGGCAGCACGCAGCGAGGGCGGAGAAGCATGCGGGGCAAGGACCGGCCGGCACCCACGCAGTGCTTGCAGACCCAGTGCTTCGACCCGCTGGTCCGCAACTGTGTGGCCTGCAGTCTCCTCCGGACGACGGAGCCTAGACCGGGTAAGAGTCGAGCCGCGCCGACGCATGGCGCGCGCGCGGGGCAGCCCTGGAGCGGGAAGGAGGGTGATGCCAGGAGTCGCAGGCATGCCCTCCCCACCCCCCACCCGCCGCCGCTCAGGACGTGGGGAGGGGGCAGGGGCCTCGGGTTAACTGTCGAGGTGGGGTGGGGAATGTGAGCCGGGGCCAGGAGGGGGGACCAGCCGTCGGCGCGTGGCCCTCACGGCCCCCTCTCGCCCCCTCGGCCTGCGCTGCCCCGCCCGGCCGTCCCCCCCCTCCGCGGCCCAGCCTCACCTTCCTCCGGCCCTCCCCCTCCCCACGCCCCCCTCCCCTCCACCCCCTGCTCCCCCTGCCCGTCCCCTCCAGCAGGCGGCCCGAGCAGCCTGGCGCCTGGGACGGCGCTGCAGCCACAGGAGTCGGCGGGCCCGGGGACCCCCGCGGAGGCCGAGGCGGCGCTGCCGCTCCCGGCGCTGCTCTTCGGAGCCCCCGCGCTGCTGGGCCTGGCGCTGGCCCTGGCCCTGCTCGGGCTGGTGACCTGGAAGCGGCGCCGGCGACGGCGGCTGGGCACGGCGATGGCCCCTGAGACTCCCGAGGCCCTGGAGGTCCCAGAGGCCCCGGACGGAGACCCAGACAGTAAGTTCCTCGTCTAGGGGACCCGAGAGGGCTGGGGGACGTCGGAGGGGAGACATGGCCCTTGAGGGGTCCAAGGGGGGCTGGGTGAAGGAGTAGGGATGGTCTGAAGGAGGTAAGGCCGAGTGGAGAGAAATAGTCCTGCCAGAGACCCCCCAGTCCAGGGCGGGGGACACAGCTCTAGTGCCCCAGACCTGTGTGAGGAAGAGACACGAGGCTGGGGAGCCCGGTTTGGGGTGGGGGGGGGGGTGGCCTGTTCTGCCCTCTCTCTGGGACAGCCAGACCGGTTCCCACCTCTCCTTGCCCTCTGTCAGCACTGGCATTTTGCCAGCCAGCTCTAGAAACTTCCCGTCCTGAGGGCCCATCACGTGCCACCCCTCTCCATCCCACCAGTGGGGCTTTATCAACTGACTTCTCTCCCATCAGTCAGATGGCTGTCCCTCCAGGGAGGCTTCCAGAACAGGGGGTGGGGACGGCTGTGAGCTGATCCTGACCCTGCGCCACCCACAAACACACACACACACACCCCCCGCCGCCTCCCCAGAGCCCCTGGACGTTGACACCACACTCTCCCCCGGAACCCTGGATGCCATGGCACCCATCTGGCTTCCGCCCAGTGAAGACCCAGCAGCCACCGCACCTGCCCACAGCGTCCCTGTGCCAGCCACAGAGCTGGGTTCCACTGAACTGGTGACCACCAAGACAGCCGGCCCTGAGCTACAGTAGCGACTGAGGAGGGCAGCAGGTGGCCCCCGCCCTCTCTACGGGCCACCAGCCAGACTTGGAGGTTGAATTCAGTTCTTCACCCTGGTGTCCACTGTCCTTTCTGGGAGCCCACCTGCTCCCCAGCTAACCCTGCAGAGCTATAGGCACCCAGACCACAGGGCTTGGACTGCGTGGCATTGTATGCATGTTAGCATTTGGCTTAAACTCATACTGGGCTGCCCAGGCGGCGCTAGCGGTAAAGAATCTTCCTGCCAATGCAGGAGACATTAAGAGAGGTGGGTTTGATCCCTGAGTTGGGAAGATCCCCTGGAGGAGGAAATGGCAACCCACTCCAGTACTCTTGCCTGGAGAATCCCATGGACAGAGGAGCCTGGCGGGTTACATTCCATGGGGCCGCTAAGACTCGGACATGACTGAGTGAGCACAAACACACAAAATAAATTCATACCACCTCTCGTTGTCCTTAAAGGTCATAGCTGAGTTCTGTGCTTTTTGAGTGGTTGGGAGACTCTGAGTACTGAGTTTTTCTTTAAGCTTGGGGAAACCACCATAAACCAGAATGAATCTAGGAAAGCATTGAGTAGGAGGATGCTTTATTTGTAGCTGGGTTGTATTCAATACTTGCTCTCGGAGCTGTCCCGCTTTTAAACCAATACAAATGGCAGCAGTGAGTAACCAACTGATCCTCACCGGTTTGCTTTGGGATTTAGTACAAGATGAGTTTAAGAAATAGCCTGAATTGTGCTGGTTCTTGGGTATCTGTATCCTAGGGTCACCCCTGAGCTTGGCCCAATCTGTTAAGATCTGTGATGCCGTTTTCGCCCTGGTGGCAGCTTCCAGAGCCCCAGGCTCACACTTGGGAGGAAGTCTAGAGCCTGTGGGGCTGGACTGCAATTGCACACGATGGCATGCGGACAGCGTGTCTGCATGAGCCCAGCTGGAGTCTGAGTGGCCTCCGGGGCACCCGGAGCTATATCCAGGGCAAGGCCAGGACCAGCAGGAGGCTCCTTACTTAGGAGGCAGAGCAGGCCTGTGGCCTTGAACCAGCTGGACCCGGTGTCCTTTGAGTGCCCTTCACTCTGTGGCCTGTCCTCCCCTAGTCAGGCATCCACCACCCCAGCAGAACTGCTCCTCTGACCATGGTGCCCCCAGCCCTGGGGCCTGGAACCAAGACCCTGGCTCCCAGTTCTAGACCATGCTGTGCATTCAGTCAGCCACTGGCTTTCCTGCCCAACCTCCTGTGATCAGGAGGGTTAGATCCTCCTGACCTGGATTCGACCCTGGACTGTATCCTTGGAATTTGTCACAGCTTAGCACCCTTGGAAGGGGCAAGGGACTGGGAAGTCAGAAGATGGTATGCTGAGTACCATGTTGTCCTCCTTGTAGGTTCTTGACCATATTCTCTTCTCTTTTTTGGGCCATGCTGCACACCTTGTGGGATCTTAGTTCCCTGACCAGAGATGGAACCCAGGCCCTTGTCAGTGAGAGCTTGGAGTCGTAATCCCTGGACTGCCAGAGGATTCCCACCTTGACCGTGTTCTATTCTATGCATCAGTTGCTCTCTGTCCATCTGTCCCTGACCTGCCCATCAGAGCTGCCCAGTAGACACCTGCACTTCCGGCCCAGCCCTTTCCCAGCTCAGAAGATAGTCAGCGGCCAGCAACGTTTGGTGCCCCCAGAACCCGGACAGCCACTTCTGAGTCTCTTCTCTCCATCCTGAACACATCTCAGATGCCTCCCCCCATCCCCCCGGCCACCAGGTGGCTGAGGTGAGGTCAGGGTAAGGGCTGTAGGCAGGAGGGTCAGGGGCAGGCCCAGAATGGGCCCAACTTTCCATTTCTCTGCATCTCAGAGTTGGGGGAGCCTGAGCTGTTCTCGGCCACCCCCATCCCCTCCCCACCTTTGCTACCACAGCCAGGGGGGTGGGCCTTGGCGGCGACACAAGTGGGCGCAGCCCCCTGGGGCCCAGACATGCAAACCTCTGGCACCGCTGTGTCCCCACTGAACCCCTGGTCCAGTCTGTTTCCTTTTCTGAAAAATGGAGGTGGGGGTTGGGTGCAAAGCTCTCCTCCGGGCCTGTGGCCCTCCAAGGACTGGAAGGAAACCTAGAGCATCCCCACTCCTCACCTCCAGTCCACAGATGAGAACACTGAGACTGTTTCCCGGAAGGAGAGTCATTGCTTTAAAAAGGCCTTGACCTTTTTTAGAGCCCTTTTGGTCAAACTGCTTTCCTGAAAATCTGGACCAGTTCTTGTCCCTGAGCAGGGGTTATATGACTCATTTTGCAGATAGGAAAGAAGAGGCCCAGAGAGGTGGAGGGACCTGGCCCAAGATACAATCCGCAGTGGTGGAGCTGGGCTAGACCTGGGCACCTGCTGGCCAGAAGGTTCCAGGAGCAGACCAGGGAGCTGCAGACCCCAGGCATTGGTTCCAGGCTTTGCTCTTTATTTTCACCTTGACTCAAAGATTTTCCTCCCCAACTGATCTCTTTCTGCAGTAAGAAGGATCCAAGATAGACTGGGAAAGCTGCTTGTTGGGATCGGAACCCAGGGAAGTAGCCTCCCTCCCCCTAGCCTGTTTCTGGCCAGATTTTCCTGGTGCAAAGTCAGGTGTCCCCAAGGTCCCCAGGGCCCTGCAGGTGGGGGCGGGGCTGGCTGAAGTCTCAGTTCCTCCTGGGGCTTCCTGCAGGCACCTCTCACTTCCTGCCTGACAGCCCTGGCTCCTGGCTCAAGGTGGGGGTGGGGAGGCCCAGCTGGTGAGGCCAGGAGGAGGAACGTGACCCCTAACCTCCCTCTGTCCCGGCAGAGATGGTCCCACACAGCTCTTGCTTTTAGAAGCTGTGGCATCTCTTGGGGCCTGTTTGCCACATGCAAAATGGAACCCGAGGGGCAACCAACTGTCCAAGATTAAAGAGGCCATGTGGCAAGTAGGGGCTCCACCTCATGAATGCCTCTATTGACTTCTTTCTCTGGGATGCAGACACTTTTCTGCCCAGAGCCCCCCAACCCTCAGAAATTCATCCCCACCCCCCCAGCCCATGTGAGTTTCCCAGAGCTGGCCTGAGGCTCTGGTCTCAGGGGTTACCACTCCCATCTCCCTTTGTCATCTGTTTACTGCCCTGTTGATCCCAGTTCCCAGCAGGCCTGCGTTGTGCCAGAACCATGCTGGTCAGTGCCAGGAGATCAGCCTCAGACCCCGCCGTTAGGTCCTATTCCAGTGGGAGAGAGAGAGCAGGACACGACCACAGGACAGCGTGATCCCGGCCAGAGCCAGGGGGCTAGGTGCGGTGGGTGGAGGGGGGTAAGGGGGGCGCGGAGAAGGGGGATGCGGGTGTGTGTATGTATGTTAATTCAGCATGTAGAGTGCTTTGGAGAGTAGGAGATATGCCCTGAGGCCTCCAGAGCTGTCTTGCTGGAACAGAGCAGACAAAGGGCATTCCTGGCCCAGGGAGCTGTGTGCAAAGGTGCAGAGAAGTCGGGGCAGGGGGAGGGGCTGGAGACTTGGGCTCACGGCTGCTAGGTGCCAGGTGAGGCTGTCAGAAGCTTCCCTGTGGCCACTCCCACCTTGTGGCACCCAGGGGCACCCACCTCTGGGAGCACGTCGTTCCTTCAGCCCCATCGCTTGGTCTCACCCTTTCTGTCACCTCCAGACCCTATAGACCTCCCCTGGGCACAAAGTGGGAGCCCACTCCCATCTTCTCTGTTGTGGATGACTCAGGCCAAATTCTCTGTTGCGCAGAACCGAAATCTGACCTTTCTCCCCTATCTGCTGGCTCCCCAGCTGTCTGATCCTAAACTGGGGGTGGGGAAGGGGGCTTGCAGGGGGATGGGTGGTAGGAACAACTGCCCAGGGTCACAAGGAGAGTCGAGAAGAAGCCAGGAGGACACAGACATCTGTGTTCTGGCCCGTACTCTTCGGGGGACTCTGCATGGGTTTCCGGGGCCCACCGGGCTTCTTGAGCATCTCTTCTCTCCCCTGAGCACAGAGAATCTGAGGACCAGCCCCGGGCGTCCTACATGAATCCAGGACGGTGCCTGCAACTCCGGCGCAGGTGAAAGTCGATGTCGGCGGCTCCTGCGGTCAGCGAGACCCGGGGCACCTGGACCGCCTGCCTTCGGGCACCGGAAGGCGGGGCTGCGGGACGGAGGGGGTGGGGCCAGGGCTAGAGGCGTGGCGAGGGCGGGGTCAAGGAGGGAGGTGGGACTGAGGAACTCCAAGCCTCGGGGTATCAGGAAGGGGGCGGGGCCAGGAGCTGGTAGAAGGGGTGGGTCCGAGGCCCACCTGCTGGGAAAAAGGCAGGTCTTGTAGGAGCAAGGTACCGAGATAAATGTAGACTCCAAACTCCGGACCGCCGCGCTCACGCGGGGTCCCCGTCCTCAAACGAGGCCCGAGGACCGCGACCCGAGCCGGGAGGGGTCCAAATGCAGGGGCTTGGCCCCGACTTTCGGAAGAGGTGGCCTACCCCGCTCTGTCCCCCTCCTCCGGCTCGGCGCTCCGCGCTCGGAGCTGACCTCGGAGCTATGTCCTAGGAACCGGCATGTTGGCAGTGTTAGAGAGCACCTGTGCGGGGTCGACGCGCGCTATGGCCTCCGCCGAACACATGTCCTCTCTGGGCCTAAGGTCACGGTGGGCAGCTCCAGTCTTGCACCTTCGTTGCGTGCACGTGGGTTTGCGAAGGGAAGCTGAGCTCCAGCACCCAGCGCCAGTCCCCACCTCCAAACCCCCCCCCCCCCCCCCCGCTCCCTCGAGACCTCAGGAGCCCGGGCGCGTCCCGTCCCTCCCACAGGCAGCTGGAGCCTGAGTCACGAACTGCCTCTCAGGGAGACAAAGGAGCCTCGGGTCCTCCCCTGCAGACCTCCCCCCCAAGGTACATTCTTCAGCATCTGCACTAGCAGGGGATCCATGGTCCCCTGCAATATCTGCTTCTTGGGTAACCTTCCACCATAGACGAAATGGGAGCAAGAGCGCTTGGCAATGACTCATCACGGAGGGCGCCTGCGGTGGAATAACCGTCTTCTTAGCACAGCTGTGGTGGGGGCTCCCAAAAGGCTGCAGGCTCCGATGTTTTTCAACTGGAGACCCGTTGGCCGCTCCCTGCAGCCCTTCGGAAGAAGAGCTAGCAGCCCATCTTGCAGATGAGAAAACTGAGGCCCAGAAATGTTGATCAGTCTTATTAGAGGCAGAATTCCAACTCATATTAGTCTGGATCCAAAGTGAAGAATAAATAGGAGTTCTCAGTGTGAGGGGCTGGAAAGGCATTCCAGGGAGAAACAACCTGTGGGAGGGCCCAGGGTTTCATGGAGGAGTTGATGTGCCAGGTGTTAGGCATTGGGGGTACTGCCGGGCCTCTGGGCCGGGGGCCTCCAGCTGCTTTCTCTGTACTGAACTGGTCAGAAGGTAGGTTTGGGGCACACAGTGCAGGTTCCAGGCCAGACTCCGGCACTTGCAGGCTGTGTGCCAAGTCATTCCCCTTCCTGGGGTCTTGGGTTTCTCTCTAGGAAGGTTGGGCAGACTGGTTACCTACCACCTAGAATCCGGAGGCTGAGGCCCAGGCCAGGTTCTTAATGTATATCCCTGATCTCTCCTCTCAGGACCCTGAGCCCTGCCCAGCCAAACCTGGGCACCAGGTGAGGACTCAACAGGGAGGGTTGTGCACAGGCACATTCACACTGCCACACACATACACACATGCCCACGTGCAGTGAAGGCCCTCACAGTCATGCCAGCCCCAGACGTGTACACTCTCACTCATGTTATCGAGCACACTCAGACACCCACACACTCCAGATTCCAGCTCTCAGAGCTGGGGGCAGGGCAGGTGCCCTTCATGAACGGAGAGTCGGCTCCTCTGCCCGCCGCTTGGGGCTCGCTGCAGATGCCAGGGGTTATTTTAAGCCTGGATCAATGGATGACTTTTGGTGATACAGGCTTGGGGGCGGCGGGCAGTGGAGATGAGGGGCCGGTGCTCTGGTGCCTTGTCATGGAGAGATATCCCAGGGTCCAGGGAGGGCAGCTTGGACAAGGGGGTCCCCCCTTAACTGGACTGCTCCATCTCTAGATCCCCTTGCCCAGCACATGGCTGGGCACCTGGGGGATGGTGTCAGCTGAGTGGACGGTCAGACCCCAGGTTCCGCCGGTCAGCTGTGGTCTCTCTTTGCATTTGCCCTCTCTGGGTCATCCTCCACCCCAAGGCTGAATGTTCACATGGAGAGGGCATTGAGTGCCTGGCACGGACCCAGTAGATGTGGGCATCTATGGTTCCTCGCTGACCCCTAAGCCAGACTGAGATGGGGAGGAAACCATGGGTGTGGGGAGGAGTTGGAGGTTGGACATCAGTCCCTTGAGGCTATGGTAGCGGGGTGCCTGGAATCCAGCTCCTTCATTGGATAAATGGAGACATATATCCTGATTGCAGTCAATTTGGGGTGGAAGCTGAGCAGGGCATCCAATGATGCCAAGAGAGTAGGTGCAGGAGAGGGGCCCAGGGAGGAGCAGAGCATTGGAAGACTTGCTCTGGGCCCAACAGGGTCATGTTACTCAGGAAGAGGTCACAGTCCCGGGGAGCAGTGACAAGCCTCTTGAAATCTAGTGCCCAGCAATAGGGCGGGAAAGAGGGCAGACACAGTCACCCATCGAGACTCAGTGACCCAGAGGGCTGCTTGGCAGTGTGTGCTGGGGGCATAGATACAAACTAGGCAGTCTGTGCCATGGATTCCATTTCTAGGAATACCAGCTAAGAAAGCAGCAAAGGATGCACCAGAAAACACAAAGTCCTAAAGCAGAATAATATACGGAAGGTTTGACAGCAAAGAGTAAATGAAAAACCAGTTACAAAGCAGTTTGTAAAGCATCAGTTTTCCCTGGTAATGGGACTAAGGCAATTTCATTTTATTCCTTTGTTCATCTATTTCCTTTTTTCTCTAAAATTGTAATAAACCCTTTTAGTAGGGTAGGGTCTTCTGGGCTGGATCCAAAGCATGTTTGTGGGTGGAGGAGAAAGGAGCAGTCTGTTTTTGGCCAGGGCATAAGGAATGGGGGAGGGCTTTGTAGGGAGGTCACCCTCCTTCCTGTCTTAGCCCTGAAATTAGCCTGTCAGCCCCTCATCTCATCAACAGAAAACCTGATCCTCCTTTAAATGTAAATCTGTCTCCTTCCTGCCTCCACCTCCTCCATTTTTATAAGCTGATCCCAGTTACTGGGTGAAGACAGGATGCAAGGGGGAGCAGGAAGGACCCAAGGAGCTCAAATTCTTCATCTGAAACTCGAGGCTAGAGTCACTTCATTCATTCAGCAGATGTAGCAGAAGTCTGTACTGCTGGGACACCAGGGAACTGGCCCACTCAGTCGGTGCTCTCATCTAGACAGTGGGAGGCCCCATATTGACCCCTCCCTGTCAGAAGAGACAGTTTTTGATGTTAAAATGAGAAACTGAGGCAGGGAAAAGCAAGGCACCTCAGCTGGGTTGCTCGGATCACATTCTGCAGTTAAAACCAACTTCAAAATCATAACTGAGTAGTGCTTTGAGTAGGTTCCCTCCTGGGCCCTACCCCTACCCCTACCCCCGAGGCTTGAGAAAGGACCTGAGGGTCCAGTGGGGACCAGGGCGAAGGGTCTGACAAGGGCTCTGCCCCAAGTGGAGTCCCTGAGGCTAAACCAATCTCCTCCCTTTCTCACCTGGAATGGCAGGAGAGATCCAGGGAGCGCCGGACTAGGCCATGTCCATCGCTCATAGGCGTGTGGTCACCGCAGGACTTCAGTCCAGCGTCCAGGAAGTTCTGGGACCCAGGTTCGTGTCCCAGGGTTAACACTGAATCCGAGGCGGCCTGGAGGGAACCTAAACTTGGCCCTCTGCTGCGGCTCTGCTGGAAGTTTCCTTCCCATTTAACAGCCAGAAAATCGAGGCGCGCAGAAGGGAATGGCCCTGCCTCAAGCCACACTTGTGTCTGGATCGGAACTGGCGGAGGGCACGGGGAGGATGGGGTACAACAGCGACCCGCCAGGGCTGCCCGGTCCCTTCAGTCCCCGCACCTGTAAACACAAGCGCTCCCGCGGCGGGCCTAGAGTCCGAAGGAACAGTACCGAGAGCATTGGGCTGAGTGCCCTGGAGCGCCCGTTCCGAGGACCGCTCGCCGCGGGCCTTCGGGGAGGGTCTCGGTGGGGCGCTCCGCCGGTGCAGGGCCCGCCGCGCCCCCGCCCTCCCGCCGCCGCGGCCGTGCTCCTCCCCCAGCCCTGCCTCCCTCCCGCCTGCCCTCCTTCCCCCACTCCTTCCCTCCCCCGCCCGCCCGAGCCCGCGCGGAGCCGGAGCCGCAGCCAGAGCGCGGGCAGCGCGGAGCGGGCGGCGGGAAGGCAGTGGTATCCGGCGGCCCGCCGCCCCCGCTAGGCCCGGGACCCGCACACCCGCCGGACGGGACCGCGCGCAGGCGAGGACCCGCCGCCCGGCCCGGGGTGGGGGCAGTCCCAGGGCGCCGACTGGCCGGCTCGGGTCCGAGGTGAGCCTCCGAAGAGTACGCGCCCACCGGAGACGCGGCCCCGCGAGGCCCAGACCGAACCCCGCCCCAGGACCTGGGGTCCTCGCGGGAGGCTGACGACACAGACGGTGTCCTCCAGGAGCCAGCGGCAGGGCGGCGAGGCGGGTGCGATCCCAGCGGGCGCGGACCAGCGGGCCCGGAGCGCGGCGGGACGGAGCCGCGGCGCGCCGCCATGCGCCGGGTGCTGTAGCCGAAGGCGCGGGCCCGATGGAGCGGGCCGGGGTGCTGGGGCTGCGCGGCAGCCGCGGGCTGCCGGGGCTCGGGCTTGGGCTCTGGCTGGCGCTGCTGCTGGCGCGGCCGCCGTCGGGCCGCGCGGGGGCCCCCGAGGCGCAGGAGCCGGCGGCTCCGGGCACAGCGGCCCCAGCCGGGGGCGACCGCTGCCGCGGCTACTACGACGTGATGGGCCAGTGGGACCCGCCCTTCAACTGCAGCTCGGGCGCCTACAACTTCTGCTGCGGCACGTGCGGCTACCGCTTCTGCTGCCACGACGGGCCGCGGCGCCTGGACCAGAGCCGCTGCTCCAACTACGACACGCCTGCCTGGGTGCAGACTGGCCGGCCGCCCGCGCGCGCCCGCGACGCCGCCGCGCCCCGGGACCCGGGCCGCGAACGCAGCCACACGGCCGTCTACGCGGTGTGCGGCGTCGCCGCGCTGCTGGTGCTAGCGGGCATCGGGGCGCGCCTGGGCCTGGAGAGGGCGCACAGCCCGCGCGCGCGGCGCACCGTGACCAGGTGAGCGCGCGCGGCCCGGGGCCGAGGCCCGGGACCCCCTCCTCACCCCCTGGACGGCCAGCCTGCCGGGTGGGCTCCCCATCGCGATCCTTCGTTCTTCCTGACCCTCTGGGACCTCCGGTCCTCTCAACAGCCCCCTCCTCCAGGTTTTGCCTCCCCGCTTCTGACCGTCTCCAGGTCTGTTTCTCCCCCCATCCCCCCTTCACGGAGGGAGACAGCTGATACCTCGCCGTCTCCCCTTGACCTTCCGGCGGGAGCTGGGTGCTGAGCCGCCTTCCCCCACGGCTCCCGCCTCCTCCGGAGTTGGGGGGAGGGCAGATCGCTCGACAGAGGGCACAAAATCCGTGCCTAGGGGAGGGGGCCTGGGGCCCGAGCCCAACTAGCGCTGGGGTTGGGCGTTGTGCACTGATGTAGCATCGGGCATCTCAGGTCCCCAGGGAAGGGACATTTTCTGTGGCTCCCTTGGCTCTCTCCCCTCCTGCTTCCCTTCCCACTCCCCACCCCCACCCCACCCCCAAAGCTGTGACTCAGGCCTGACCTTATTTCCCTAGTGTTCTTAGAAGACCTCCCCATCTCACCCCACTCAGTGCCCCCTGGCTAGAAGGGGATCCGAATTGGGAGTGGTACAGGTTCATTTTGGCTGTGGTCTGGACAGGTGCCGAGTTCTGAGTTTTGTGTTAAGTGGGGGTCACAGGACCCAGGTTCCCTACCTCAGCTGGGAAAGGGACTCTGGGATTCGGTGTCCCAAACCTGAAACCCTCACCCACACCCCATACCCCAACACACACTCACATGCCCCCAGTCACCCCATGTCCTGGGGCCTGTGCCCTCCTCTCTCACTCATCCAGGCCCGGCTCCCTTGGGTGTGTGGGCTGTGGACACGGTGTGCGACAGGCTGGTACTTAGAAGTGATCGCGGAGAGAGGCCCCCGTGCCTGGGCGGGCTAGGTGTTAATGCCGCCCCGCTCCTAGACTTCCCTCAGAGGCAGGAGGGCTTCCTTGGCACTCTGTGGGACCCCTCACCTCCAGACCACACAGCCCACCTGCTGTAAGGCAGCTGTAGGCTGGAACCGGGACTGGAACCCTGGCTTCAGCCCTGTGCTGCGTGCGATGTGGTGCTGGATGCTTCCGGAGCAGGGCCTGGGCCTCCTGAGCTTGGAGCCTCCTGGAGCTGGGTGAGGGGGAGAGGACAGGGCCTGTCCTTGGTCCGAGCGGGGCAGCAGGACCTGGGGGCCATGATGGTGGAGGGGAACAGCTGTGGCAGCCTAGGGACACATTCACCCGGGACCCACTTTGTCCTCAGGGGACCAGGAAGCAGGTCTAGTGATGCTTTGGGAAGAGCCGGGCCACCCCTGATGTGCTGTGTCACGTGGGCCAGTGCCTTTTTCTGTCTGGGCTTTAGGCTCCTATGTGCCCTGACTCCATTTCTTTTTTGGGGAGACCTGGAGCTTGTGTGTGGGTGCGCTCTGAGCCCCTTCCTTCCTCCCCTCAAGTCACACACTTAATTCTGCTTTGTTGAGCTTGCTGGTCAGGGAAGGTTTCTCAGACGGCTTGTGGGGAGTCTGAGTCTGTCTCTGGAGAAAGTTTGTGCAAAGGCTCAGAGGCATGAAAATTGCTCAGGTATTTGGGAGAGCTGGCTGGTGGGTGCTCAGAGGTGAGACCACAGGGGTGAGCAGCCAAGGAGTAGCAGGGCACGCGGATCAGCTCGGGCAGCCGCTAGGAGACCTTCAGCTCCTGCCACATTGCAGCCAACTGCGCCCAGCCCAGGTGTCCCATCTCCGTAGGCTTCAGCATGAATCTGTCATTTGGGGCCCCAGCGAGGAGAAAATCATGGGTTCTGGACTCTGAAGGCAGCTGGGCTGAAGGCTGGGTTTGGCTGTCTGTGGGGAAGCCTCAGTCAGATCCCGTCACAGCTGGGTGGGGGCTGGGTGTCCTGGTACCAAGGTCACACAGCCTTTGGTGCCGGGCTGGCACTGCGGGGTCTCCTGGCTCCTCCTACCCCTCACTGTCCATCCTCCCTGCTTGTGCTGGCAGCTAAGTCCTGGAACACAGCAGAAACCTCTGCGGCAAGAGGGGAGGAAGGCAGGCAGGTTAAAAAAAAAGGCTTCCTGGTAGAGGAAGGATTCTGGTGGGCTTTGAAGAATGAGTAGGAGTTTTCCCAGAGGAGATGGAGAAGGAGTAGCACAAAGTCCAGGAACCAGAGACGCCCAGATGCTTGTGTTGAGAGAGGGGGCGCAACATGAAGGGTCTTGGGGAGTAGACTCCAGAAAGGGGAGGGGGGGAGCCTTTGGAAAATAAAGTGGTCCTGGTTACACATGACCGCATTAGTTTCCTGACCTGCTCTGAGAGTCGGCCATGTTGGGGTTACAGGTCATGCCTAGGAGGGGAAACTAGATGTTTGAGGTTAATCACTGGGGAGAGGGGAGGCCAGAGGGGTTGAAAGAGCTGCCCAGGGCCACACAGTGAGAAGTCATGGCGGGGACTGCCTCTGATGGGCCAGACCTGGCTGACGGGGAAACAGGCTGCCTGTCACCACTCTCTCCCCACAGGACACTGACAGAGCTCCTGAAGCAGCCCGGCCCCCAGGAGCCACTGCCTCCACCTCTGGGCCCACCTCTGGGTAGCTGTGTCCAGGTGCAGATGGGTGATGGCCTTCCCCGGGGCTCCCCCCACAACAGCACAGGTGAGGCGGCTGGTGGACCGGCCTTTGTTGATCCACAGCACAGAGCTGTCTTGTCAGGAGGGCCTGGGAGCAGGGGACCCGGGCGCTGATGCTGTGCGCCATTTCCCAGATGGAAGTGAGCTTCCCGCCTCTGTGAGGGGACTAGTCAGCTCCTTGTGGTGCACAGCGTCCCTCCCGGGGTCCTGCAACCTCCAGCCTCTAGGACTCTGTGAAGACGAGTCCAGATTCAGGGATGCCCAGTTCAGACTCTGGCTCTGCCTGGTCCTAGGCTCTGGCTCAGAGCCCTGGGGTCTGACTGGCCTGTGTCTGTGGCCTCTCATGGGCCTTTTCCTTCCAGCTGGTGCCTCCTTCTTGGACTCCTGCTGGTGACACAGGCTTGACAGCACCTCCCCTCCCCCCACTAGGGGTTCCAATCCTCAAACATTCTATTCCTCTCTGGGAGAAGCGATTCTGAGCCCCAGCGCCATGCTCCAATCGAACAAGCTGGCAAGTCATCCCTTAGATGAGCACCCCCTCAGGGCTGGGTGCTATTATTCTCGTTTATTCTGAGCCAGGCCCTGTCCGAGGTACTGTAGATTCTGCCGTCAGGAGACAGAGGAGGAATAAGTTCCTAAGTCATCTCACAAGTTATCATTAATTGCCCTTGGGGAGTGGGCTGCAAAGAGGTGCGGGATGTCTTCCAGTCAGCGAGCCGAGTCTCATCTCCTCCTTCCAGATAAGAAACGCCCCAACAACGTGCCCCTGGGTTCAGTGACTGCGGGGCCCCCACACGCACCCCGGCTGCAGGGCGGCGGCAACTTGACGCTGCAGCCCGACTTCGCCAAGTACGCCACCCTCAAGGCAGCCGCGCTCAAGGCCGCAGGTGAGAGGCCAGGTTTGTGCGGGGAGCGCCGGGCCCAGTGCACCCGCGGAGGTGCAAGCGTCTGGATTGCATAGTTCGGCGTCCCAGTTCTAAAGTTCCCGGCGCTCCAGCCAGCGACCGCATCGCCCCCTCGCCGATCGGTTGCCGCGCCTTCGCAGCACCGCACCCCTCTCAGATCAGGCCGCGGGTCTGGGGCCGGATAGCCGGATATAGAGCCGGGAGCGTAGCCTGAGTGGGAATGAGCCGGGAGGCGATGAGGCCCCGCCCCCGGGACCTGGCCACGCCCCTAGTCCTGACCCCGCCCCTGGGCCCTGGCCACGCCCCGAGGTCTAGGTCTGGCCCCGACCCCGACTGAAGGCTCTCTGGCCCCGCAGAGGCCTCCGCGCCAGACTTCTACCACCGTTTTCCCGTCACGGAACCCGCCCCGCTGACCCTCCCGGTGCGAGCCCGGAGGCCTCCCGAGGACTTGCCTGAGCTGCTCGACGCCTGCCCCTGGGCACCCCCGGGCTACGCGCCCCCTGCCGGCTCCACCCCATCGGGCCACTACAAGGCCTGGACCGCCGGCCGCCCAGTCCGGGCCGCTACCCGCGGCCACCTGGCGGTTCATGCTTCCCCCGCGCCGCGACGGCCGGGCCACGCGCCCCGGAGCCAGTTCAGCGTGGAGAAGCTGCCCGAGGCCTTCAGCCCGCAGGCCCCTGGCCTTTACGGCAGCGCCGTCCGCGGACCCTGGCACCTGAGCACCAACAGCAAAGCTGAGGTCACCGTGTGAAGAAGGGGCTGCCGATTCTCTCGGAGGCGTTGCAGCGCCGGGAGCCCTCTTCTGCCTGGGAGACTTGCCACGGGCCTGATCGGGTGGGCCCAGTCCGTGGAAGGAAGGGTGCCAGCCTTGAAGTCCAGCCCTTCTGCCTTCCCAGACTGAACCAGGAGAAGCCTTGGAGTCTTGCAGGGCTGAGGTCCATTGGGTAAGGCCAGTGGTTCTGTCCTGGGGGCTCCTTGTGTAAGTAAACCCTTTTCTGTGACTCCCAGCCCTGAGAATAAAGGGGCCCCAGCTTGGCTCCAAGAGGCACTGATGGTGGAGGTGTTGGTCATTGACTGGACAGACGGCAGTGCCAGCAGAGGGCACAGCATGTGCAAGGGCAGAGGACTGAGAGCTGGTGGGCAAGCGCTCTGGGAGCTGGGGAGCAGTAGCTGGTGAGGGTGGTCAGGGCTGAAAGCCAGCTGGAATGTCCACACCAGGAGGAGCCATGGGAGAGGGGGCAGCTAGGCCCCAGCCATCTTCGAGGTTGGCACAGGAGAGAGAGCTGGTGGGCCCCCGAGGGTCCATGCCCCTGAACGGAGGAGAGCCCCTCCAGCCAGTCACCTGCTTGACTTGGCTGAGCCTGGCTGATCCTCACTGACATTGTCTGGCCCTTGGCCGGCCCCTGGGCTGCAGGCCACTTGGCCAGCTTGGCCCAGGGCCACCCCCCTGATGGGTGTGGGCAGTGGGCCGGGAGACAGCTGGTACTCAGGATGGGGGAGCCTGCTCCCAGTGGCTGTTCTGGGGGAAACGGGGATAGGGCTGCTGGACCCAGAGCCTTGGCAGTGCCCCCACCAGGGTGCTTGCCACCCCCTCAGGCTTGGCACTGCCAGCTCTCCCCCCTTTTCCTGGCTGTGGCCCAGGGCACTGCCAACACCCTGCGTGCATTAAGTTCCTCTGTGCCAGGCACTACTGGAAGGTTGAGGGCTGGGTTATGCCCCTCACTGGATATCTTAGGCATGGTGTACTGTTTTAATAACAATGGCTGCCATTTGCTATTTCTTCTATTTAATCCTCACGAAAGCCCCGTGAGCATGTGGCTGGACAGATGAGGAAACTGAGGTCCTGAGACCTCAGTACCATGCCAAGGTCACCCAACTGACAGCAGTTTAGGACTCTTCCGTATTCTGCCGGCACTGTGGATCTGGTGGTGGAATGGCAGTGTGTGTTGGCAGAGGCGCCCCATGCTCCCAGCCAGTCTCCGGCCTTCCTCCTGCTGGCTGGGCTGCCCTGAGGCCCCCAAACCCTCCAGCTCTTCACCTGTAGGAGGGTCCACCTTGCCCTTTCTTACATTCTCTTGAGAAAACCAAAGCCCAGAAGCGCCAGGTCAGAACAGAGCCCAGGGTCCATGGTTACGCCTGCAGTGGGGACCCCCATGGCTCACAGGGAAGGTGGCTCTCACACCCTCAACCCCGGGCGGGGGTGGGGTGCCCCCAAGAGGATCCCGCAGCTGTATGGAGCTGGGGGAGAGGGGTGGGTGCTGAGTCACGGATCCCGTAGAGACTCACAAGAGGATTGGGTTCCTGGGCACACATCAGCCACCCACAGCCACCCACCCTGGTGACACAGGCCCTGGAGACTGTGGGCTGGGAGGTGGGCATGCCCTCGTTGCTTGTTCAGTCCCAAGGGGCCCTGGATCTCCATCCTAGGGGGCCAGGCCTCCACTGGAAATGCTACTCTAGTAACTGTGGACAAGGACCAACTACAGCGGCCCCCCCACCTCCCACCCCTCACCGCCACAGGCTGTTCTGGCCCTTGGGACAGTGGCCTTCTGTATGTCCTTCAGAGAAGGGAGTGGCTTAGATGGCTCAAGGGCCCTGGCCCATTTCTCAGCCAGGGGCTGGGTTATGGACCACGCACTTCGGCCCCCAGACTCATCCCCATGGGCCTTGCTGACCTGCCTGCCCACACGGCCCCCGCACTCCTTGCGGCCTGGCCCCTCCCCAGCCTCACCGGCCCTCCCTACAAACTGGTACTTCATGTGTGCCACAGGCAGGGGCTGGCTGTCTGCACACAGACTCATGGAGGCTGAAGGGACGCCCCCCCACCCCTGCCACCCGCACTTCCAAGGGGACCTGGCTGGGAAGCACAGGAGCTGGACTCAGATGTGACCTGCAAGCCACATCTCAGAAGCTCTCTGCCTCCAAGGAGATGGGGAAACCCAACTGAGGAGAGGCTTCTCAGGGGTGAACCCAGGAGGGCTTAGCACCCCAAATCCCAAAGAACTGCTGCCGTCTGCTAAGCTGCCAACGCTGTGTCCTGCATTCGGTGACCTCTGACCCCAGCAACACCACCACCAACACCCCTTTTCGCCCAGGTCTGTCCCAGTCCTGCAGTGTGAGCCAGAGAGCTGGCGCTGGGAGGACGGGGCCAGGAGCATGGGCGGGCAAGGAAGGTCTGTCAGCCCAAAGCCCCTGGGACCTCTTGGCAAAGGGGGAGAGACGACCCCTGGTTCCGGACCCACTGGAGGCCGAGCCACGCAGCCGCCTGGCCGGTCACCCCAGCAGTCACGCCACAGACCCCACACGCTTCACGCCGGGTGGTACCAATCTGTTTATTCAATAACCTACATCCAGGACACAGTGAATGATTCCATATCAAGGAAGCCACAGGCATCGCCCACTTTTCAGTGAAAAACCCACCCCCTCCCCCCCTGAAACCATCATGAGAAAAGGCACGGTATATACACATGACATAAAGGCTGGCTCACCCAGGGGGCAGGGGCCATAAATTAAGGTGGGGGCAGAAGAGAAAAAGTGGGTGAGGTCCGAGCTCGTGGGTGAAGCCTGCTCTCGGCATGAGGGGAGCCCTTGCTGTATGTACCCTCAGTCTGTGCTGGGGCCCCTCCCCACTTTCTGCCCCAACCAGCCCAAGGGGGTGAGAGGTACAGGGAGGGAGGAGGGCAGCCCCTCTTGGCCTCCCCGCAGGCCCCGGGTGCCAGGCAGCCCTCAGACCCCAGGAGAAATGGCCTCAGGTAGATGCCAAGCCTGGGCATCCGGAAAAGTGGGGCCACTCTTCCTCACAGGACCCCCCTCAAGGAAGGGGACTTTGATCCTAGTGCCCACCGTGGGCAACACTGTGCCCACCTCAAAAAGGGGCTTGTCTGGGGACGGGTTGGGGTCTGGTCCCTGCCAGCCTGGCTTATGCTCAGGTCAAGAATTAGGGATAAAAATAGACCGTGGAGGTAGGAGTTGGGGTGGGAGGGAGCCCAAGAGAGTGGAGAACCCACACTGAAGGCCCCTGGTCCTCAGTCCTGGTGGGTGACTTTCTCTCTCCCAGCCCCCCTGGGGGCATACCCTGAGACTGGGCTGACATCCCAGGGAGCGGGAAGGAACAGGACAATTAAGTAAGACCATTTATTTTTTAAAAAAATTAAAAAATAATGCCAACACAATTTCACCCATCCCCAAGCCTGCCCCCTGCCTCCCACCCACCTCCCCAGGGCTGGGCTAGCTCCTCCCCTGGCTGTCCTGTGTAATGAGGAGAAAACAATGAACTCGCTTTGTCAAGTACAGGGGAGGGGACGCGGACCCAGGGAGAGAAATAAAGATGCCACAGCAACTCAGCCTTGCATCACGGCAACTCCAAGCACACAGATATAAAAACATTCATATAAAAGGGGGGCGTGCTGAGCACAGCGCCACGGGTGGAGCGCATGGTGCCCAGAGACCTATGTCCCGCAGAGGGAAAGCCTGATAAAAAAAAAAAAAACAAGGAAGCAGGAAAAGGGAGTGGGGAGATTTTCAGAGGAAAGAAGAGTCCTGGGAGGGCTAGAGGTGGGACTGGGCAGCCTGGGAGCTCCCCCTGCCACTTTCAAGTCAGGGAACCCCCATTTCCTGCCTGCCCTATCTTTCCCTGCTCTGGCCCACTGGGGCCTGGGCTGGGGGCCTCTCTCCGCAGCAGCTCCCAGGGGCCCACTAGCCAGAGGTGGTCCAGAAGCCTCGGCAGGTGACCACTCCAAAGCCAAGGTTTGTCCCTCAGCTCCCACAGGGAAGGGGAGAGAGACACAAGAGACAGAGGAGGAGGCAGAGACTGAGAGACAAACAAAGAGGGAGAGACAGAGGGAGGAGGGAGAGACTCAGAGACAGAGGAGGAAGGAGAGAGACGGAGGGGAGAGAGAGAGAGAGGAGGGAGAGAGACAGAGGGAGGAAGGAGAGACAGAGGAGGGAGAGACTCAGAGACAGAGGAGACTCAGAGACAGAGGGAGCTGGAGAGTGACCAAGGGAGGCGGTAGCCGAGGTGGGCAGAGCCCCGTGGTCAGGAGGCGGCAATGGCGGTGCCGCCTCCCAGCTTGACAATCATCTGCTGGCAGTCGTTGCATGAGCGCCGGTCGCCCACCTTCTCCAGGGTGCGGGCAGCCTCGGCCAGCAGCACGGCCCGCTGGCCCGGGGAGGACAAGAAGGAGAGGGGGAGGTGGCGGCAGGCCAGGAGGATGGCAGTGGCCCGCTCTCGCTGCCCGGGCCAGGCGTCCGCCTCTCCTGTGGGAACCAGGAGACACACATACCCGCTGAGAGCCCGCTACAACGCGGTGCTGTCCCCAGGGCTCGGTGAGAACTTGTGTATCTAAGTCCCCCGCCCCCAGGCAGGGGAGGTTCAGCTCAACAGAGAGATGAGCTGACCCTGGCGGGCGCCACACACATTACTCTATCATTCTGTGATGGGGCTGAGATGGGGCCCAGCTCCCACGCTGGGACAACACCCCCCACCATCCCCTTCTCACTCTGGAGAGGCTGGACCCACAACAACCTGACCGAGGCCAGTCCAGCCCCACAATGCCTCTCGGACCCGCCCTGGCTACCCACCAAATCAAGCCTTGGGCTGCCCTCCCCGCCCCAAGCGGGCCCGCCCAGGTGCCGGGGCCGGCTCACCGTGCTTGGCGTTCTGAGCCGTGCGCCGGCGCAGGCTGTGCTCCAGCAGCTGGTGGGTGCGGGTAGGGCTGGCTCCAGCCATCAGGCGCACGGTGGCTTCATGCAGGAACACCTGGCGGGCCCAGGGACACAAGCCCGGCGTCCTCACCTGTCTGTGTCCTTGGGGGCATCCCTCCCTGCAGCATCACATCTGCCCCCTGACCACACCCCTTCTCCTCTTCACGACACCCTGCCCTGCTCACCCTTTGAAAACAACCTCTCCCGTCCTCACTCTGACCCCGGACACATGCCTGGCAGGAAAGGGGAACAGCACAGGCCAGCTGGTGGGGCTGGAGCAAGAGCGCACACCGAGAGGGAGGCTAAGGGCCACCTCTGCGGACGGTGACGGACAGCACCGATGTGCGCTCCGGGGTGTGAGGACAAGTAGGCGGGGTGGACCCTCACGATGCTGGAGGCTGCCTCCAGCCTGAAAACAGGACAGAGGAGAGGCAGGGGAACAGCTCGAGGCGGCTTGGGGCCCTGTGTCCTTTGGTTTCTTCAGAAACGATCTCTTCTTCAGAGTTCAGAAGGTCTCCAGGAGGAAGACCTGCGGCTCTTCTGTCAACAGGAGTCACCGACGGGGACGGGGAGGGCAGAAGGGGTCTCCCTAGGTCTCTAGTTTCTTTTACACCCCAACACCTCAGGGTGTGAGGAGGGTGGCGCTGCCCTGGAAGGCCAGGGTGGAGGCGGGGAAGGGAGAGGCAGGTTTTCTGAGGAGGCCTGTGAGGAGGCTGCCGCCCCTGGGTGCACTTCCTCTTTTCCACCGTGAAGGGGGTGGTTCTCACATGACTATTTCGTCTGCAGTGTCTGTCCTGGCTCGCTGCACACAGGGGGCACAGTGCAACCCCGTGAGGGTCCCAGAGCACTTGAGGGTGAGGGCAGCTGTACCCCAAACCCTTCTTTTTTGCACGTTTTCAAATACAGCCCTTCCCCACCCCTAACATTGGCCTTCTCACTTGAATTTTTGGAAAACAATTCAGGGAAAATATGTTGAGTTCTATTACTCCTGATTAGCAATAAAGGTGAACATGGGAACAATTTGAGTCCACTAAGTGGGTTATACAACTGCCTTCATTGCCAAGGGGATGTTACGTGGTGAGTCCTCAAACACAGAACTAAAGCCCCAGTGGCCTAGAAAAAGCATTAAACACATTTCTAGGGGATCCTGACACCCACTATGAAAACCTGGCCGCACTCCCTCGTGGCCGTCCCACCCCTCCTCACACAGACTAGGGGCCCCTTCTCGCTCCCTCGTGTTAACTGGTAAGGCGAGCTCTCTGCTGGCCTGTCTGTGCCATGTGGACTGCTCACTGCCACGCTCCAGGGTTGGGCACACATAGCACGAGCCAAACAAAGGGATGAACGGCACCCAGCCCAGGACCTGACATGTCAGCCGACTCCACGACCCCACGCCAGAGCTGGGCTGGGTTCTGGCGCCTCGATCCACCCTCCCTGGCAGCAGGCTGGGCCTTACCTTTCGGTAGGCTGGGCGGAAGCTGTGTGCCAGCCTGCGCAGGCTGCCCAGGTCCCGCTGGAAGCCAGCCAGCTCGGCGCCCGATGCGTGGTAGGTCTCCCCCAGGGCCTGGCTGGCTCCGGCCTGCTTCTGCCACAGCGCTGTCCGCAGCGACAGGAGCAGGTCACAGGTCAGCAGCTGGACCACCTGCGGGGTGGGCCATGAGGAAGGAGAAGGTAACTGGCTGGTCATCAGGGCATGGGTCCCTGCACCCACCAGGTCTTCCCCAACCAGACACCTGGCAGCTCTGGGATGAAAGGGGAGCCCCAGAAAATCAGGGAGCAAGAGAACCGCCAGGATGTGAGCTTCAGTTCATGTCATCTAGTTCCTCCCATGGCCCCTGTAGGGAGATCTGCTCTTCCATCGAGCGGGTGAGGAAGCCAAGGCTCAGAAAGGGGCAGCGCCTCATGGAGGAGACAGTGGGGAGGGCAGGAATAAAACCGGGGTGGTTCTGACAGGAAGTCGCCGGCCTCTCCCACCTCTGGGAGCCCCTCCCACCTCCGGGAGCCCATGGGTGGTCTAGAGGCCCTGTCCTTGCAGGGCAATCAGACAGAGCCTGGAGATGGAGGAGCAGGGATCAGAGGCTCGCTTCCACGGATGGGGCCCAGGTCTGGTCCTAGTGGCCTCTGTGGTGGGCGGGGGAGACAGGAACCCAAGAAGGCAGACCTGCAGAGAGGCTCAATGCTGGGGTTTGGATCTACTGGTCTATTCTTTCACGGATTCCTGTCCATAGCTACGTGGCCCTGACACATGACCTCTCCTCTGAGCCTGTTTCCCCACCCACAAAACGGGCACCACACAGGGCTGCAGGGTCACAAAGGAGAGTCACAAAGGAGCACTGGCCTCAGCCCAAGCTGGCGTGGCCTAGCTCACCCTCAGTGCCAGGGAAAGTGATTCTCAAGGTGGCTCATGTGCTGCCCTCAGGCGCCGATGGACCCCTCCAGGCCGTTCCCATCTCATCCAGCCTGGCGTCCCCTTCTCCAGGGTGCTGCCCCACACCCCCCACCCCCAACCCTGCCTCACACCTGTATGTTGCCTGACCCTCGGCCACAGTGGTTTTTTGGCTGCTGACAGCACTGGTGGACAACATGGATGACACCCTTCTCCTCGACCAAAGGTAGCATTTCTGAGAGGTGAGGTAGCAGCCTGGGGCTGAATTCTGCCCTCTGAGGGACGCTAGCCTCTGTGGGGGCCCCTTCTTCCAGGCGCACTTTCCCACACAGGTCCCTGCAGCCTCTCTCTCCTCCTCACACTCATCTGCATCTCCATGAAGACAAACACTACTGGGCCCAGCAGAGGAACCACCCAGAGCGAGCCTCGGGCCCTGTGGGCGCACCTGTCCTGCAGGGCTGGCATGTCATCTCAGGTTCACCGCAGGGTCCGGGTCCAGGGACGACCTCAGCCAAAGGTGCCAGACCAACCCTAGTGAGGGCCTCGGAGTCCGACCCTCAGGACACACCTCCGGCCTCCCTTTCCGGAGTGAACCAGGCTCCTCCTGGTGAGCAGATGACGCCTCCCCTCCCCTGCCCCAGACCCCGGACAGCCCTGCCTCGCGCCCCAGCAGTGACACAGTCCCTCTAACAAGGCACGGGGGAGTCTCTCGAGGGCCGGGCAGGCCTCTGTGATGCACTGTGGAAACATTGCACGGGTACCACCAGAACATGCAATGCAACTACAATGCACCACAGCCGCCCGCTCCAGGGTGTGCACGCGAAGTGTGGGGGCCGGAGCAGATGCGTGCCCTGGCCAGCTGAGGTCCACCTGGGGCTGACTGAGCTGAGGGCCCGCAGGACCTGGGACCCAGATGGGAACATGCTGGTCCCAAGTACTGAAAGGAAAACCCCTGGACCACCGGGCCAGGCTCAGGGGGAGGGGCTGCTACCTGGCCTGCCTTTCGCGCAGCCCCACAGGCCAAGTGGGCTCACGGCAGGTCAGCATGTTCTCTCCCAGCAGAGATGAGCACCACCCCCGGGGCCAGATACGCCCCCACTCACATGGTTGAGGTCGGGGTCACAGGTGGCCCCACTGACGTTGAGGCTGCTCCACAAGTGGCCACTGGCCCTCTCGCAGTGGCAGAAGGAACTCTGCTGCCCATCTGCCTTCCCGGAGAGCGAGGCGTGCATGGCTCTGCAGGTGTGGAAGATGGCCTTCACCAGGGGGCTCCTGGGTGGTGACAGAGGTGAGAGGCAAGAGGTCAGCACACATCATCTGGGCAGAATGAAGGTTGGGAGCCCAAGCCAGCCACTGCCATCCCCACATTGTTGTGACATGTGGGTCTGCAGGACCAAAGGCCACCATAATGGTTCTAGGTCCCAGCTCCAGACTGGAAATGCTGGCCCTAAGTGAGGGAGGCTCCCTGGCCCTAAGCATCTTCTTCACTCCAGAAATGTGCACACTCCTAGTGAGGGAGTTGGATGATCAACACATTAGATACTGACTGTGTAAAGCCAGGCGCTGCGAGGGCCATGAAGGAAAGTCACCTAGAGCCAGGGCATGGAATTTTATAAAGGATGACCAAGGACGTCCTCACGGAAAAGGTGACACTGGTGCAGAAGGAACCCGAGGGAAGCAGGCGCGTGGATTTCTAGGGAGGAGGGTTCTAGAAAGAGGCAAGGCAGGTGCAAAGGCCCTGAGTGTCTGACACATGTGAGAGCATCCAGGCGGGAGCACGGCTGCAGCAGGAAGTGAGGGGAGTGGAGGAGAGCAGGCGCTGAACGAGGCTCTTCTCAGCCTCTGACCCAGCTCCAGGCTCCAGGCAACCGGAGCTCATCTCTGCTCCCTTCCTCACTCCTCGCCTCTGCTGACGCGGCTGCCTTTGCCTGGAATACCCATTCCCCACTTGTTCCCAAGACCTGTTTCACCTGCTGGCCCTCTGGTCCGCCTTCTCCTGCCCGGCCCCCTGCAAGCCTCCTCTTGCTGCCCCCTGACTCAGGCCCCCTGCTCCCCCGACACCGGCTGTCGGTTTGTGAGCCTCCTGCCCTCAACAGGAGCTGTGTGAACTCCTGCAGACTGACCTGCCTCTGGCCCAGAACGCCTTCCCATGATGGGCTGCCTGCTTCCTGGGAGCCGAGACTGGCCCCCGGCACAGGCCACGGCTCCCAGAGTGGAGAGCTGAGTGGGGCGGGCCACTATCTATTTGCTCATGGCCATAACTCACTGTCTCATTCATTGTGGCCTCCCAGAACCTAGAACTCAACCGACACCAAGTACGCCCTCAGCTAAGCACTTGTTGAGTGGATGATGGAATCGTGGAGGGGTGCAGGAGACCCCCAAATGTGGCATGTGACCAAGGGGAAGGGATCAGAGACCCCGGCCCCACCACAAGCAGTCACCCAAGATGGTCACTTAAACAATCTGTGCCTCAGGGGGAAGATAGTACATGTCTGTGCGTGGCTGAGTCCCTCTGCTGTTCACCTGAAACTATCATAACATTGTTAATCTGCTATACTCCAACACAAGATAAAAAGTTAAAAAAAAAAGTAGAAGAGCACTAAGTAAAAAAAAAAAAAAAAAAAACAAAAACAACCCATGCGTCAGTTTACTCATCTCTACAGAGCCACAGTACCACTCGCCGCTCCCTGTGGGGACATACGATATCGGCCCTGTTATCTGCACCCACTCGCTAAGGTGCACAGGCCACGTGCTAAACTCTGGAGAAACAGCCTCATTTCATGGAGCAGATCAGGGAGAGAGTGGGCAGGCTGGGGTGGGGGGGCATCCCACAGCATCACCACAACCAAAGAGCAAAGGGGCCCCAGGGTGGCTGAATTTGGGGGGAGGGAATGCCTGCAGGGGTTTTAGCTGCACCCCAGGGCCTGTTCTTAGAAGTGAGATGACTTTAGACGGTTTCCTGCTGGGCCTCAGTCTGCTTGGGTGCGTCAGCTGGAAGACAACACACCCTGGGTAGGCGTTCACTGGTCAGAGTTTAAAAGGGGGTTACTTAAATGAAATTGGGAGTGGTGAAGCTGCCTAAACCTGCTTTCCTCGGCTCCCTCCTGCTCTCCCGGGTAAGTGTCCGCTTGGCGGGAAATGCGACAGCCTTGGCTCTAAGGAAAGCCCCAGTGAGACCTTCCTGCCTTGGGGCATTTCACAATTTCTTCAAGTGGCAGAAGATGTCAGGGACACTCAGATCCAGTCAGAAGCAGCCAGGGTGTTGGCAGGCTGCCTGCCACTACAGGCCAAATGCCCCCAAGAGGCAGGCATGAGTCCCCAAGAGGAATGTCAAAAGCTCTCTGGTGATGCCTTGTGCTAAAGGCCTTTTTAGTGATACGGCTGGTGGGGTGGAGGGTGGTCAAGAGGAAATGGGACTCAGTGCTGGCACATGAGAGGATCCCCGGGCCTCAGAAGCCAGCACTGGCCTGCCGGGCTCCACCGGGACCTTCTGTAGTAGAAGGAGCCACCAGCTCTCCCTGCCCATCAGCCAGTGTGAGGAGCCCTGGAAGCATGGGGAAAGACAGATAGACAGAAAGACACACACACACACACACCTCGCCACGTCTGGAGACACACACACACACACCTCACCACGTCTGGAGACACACACACACACACCTCGCCACGTCTGGAGACACACACACACACACCTCGCCACGTCTGAAGACACACACACACACACCTCGCCATGTCTGGAGACACACACACACCTCGCCACGTCTGAAGACACACAGACACACACACATACCTCGCCATGTTTGGAGACACACACACACACACACACCTCGCCATGTCTGGAGACACACACACACACATACACACACCTCGCCACGTCTGGAGACACACACACACACCTCACCACGTCTGGAGACACAGACACACACACACACACACACATACCTCACCATGTCTGGAGACACACACATACACATACCTCACCATGTCTGGAGACACACACACACACACACACACACACACACACACACACACACCTCGCCACGTCTGGAGACACAGACACACACACACACACACACCTCGCTATGTCTGGAGACACACACACACACACACACACCTCACCACGTCTGGAGACACAGACAGACAGACACACACACACACACCCCCCTCACCACGTCTGGAGACGCAGACAGACAGACAGACAGACACACACCTCACCATGTCTGGAGACACACACACACCTCACCACGTCTGGAGACACACACACACAGCTCGCCACGTCTGGAGACACACACAGACACACACACACCTAGCCATGTCTGGAGACACACAGACACACAGACACACACCTCGCCATGTCTGGAGACACACACACACCTCGCCATGTCTGGAGACACAGATACACACACACACACACACATACCTCGCCACGTCTGGAGACACACACACACATATACCTCGCCATGTCTGGACACACAAACACACACACACCTCGCCACGTCTGGAGACACAGACACACACAGACACACACCTCGCCACATCTGGAGACACACGCACACACACACCTCACCACATCTGGAGACACAGACACACACACACACACCTCGCCACGTCTGGAGAGACACACACACACACACACCTCACCATGTCTGGAGACACACACCTCGCCACGTCTGGAGACACACACATAGACATACACACACATGCACCTCGCCATGTCTGGAGACACACACACAGACACACACACCTCACCACGTCTGGAGACACACATACACACACACACACACCCCTCGCCACGTCTGGAGACACACACACACACTCACACCCCTCGCCACATCTGGAGAGACACACACACACACACACACACACACACACACACACCTCACCATGTCTGGAGACACACACCTCGCCACGTCTGGAGACACACACACACATGCACCTCGCCATGTCTGGAGACACACACACAGACACACACACCTCGCCACGTCTGGAGACACACACACAGACATACACACACATGCACCTCGCCATGTCTGGAGACACACACACAGACACACACACCTCGCCACGTCTGGAGACACACACACACACACCTTGCCATGTCTGGAGACACACACACATACATACACACACCCACACCTTGCCACGTCTGGAGACACACACACAGACATAACACACACATGCACCTCGCCATGTCTGGAGACACACACACACACACACTCACACACCTCGGCACATCTGGAGACACAGACACACACACACACCTCGCCATGTCTGGAGTCTCCACAGCGCCCTTGCCCCCTCGCTTCATCTCTCCATCTGTCGTGCTGTCCCCAGGCTGCCTGACCCTTCACGCTGATGGCCACGCAGACCCGCTCCCTGCCCCCACTAACCCAGTGAGCCTGGCACCTGCTGGCACCGGGGGCTCCCCTGGAGAGAAGTGGGCAAGAGGTTAAGGAGGGCTACGCACTCTGTCACTTCCAGGGCCTGGGGGACTCGCTCCACTTCAGTAAAGTGAGTGCGCACAGCGGCGTCATCTCCCTGGAGCCAGCTGACGGCCATGGTGATGGCGGATGTCCACCACCGACAGACGACGTCTGGGCCTAGAGGCAAACAGAACCAAATGCCACTCGAGCACTGCAGAAACTACAGCCCCCGTTCCTGTCGCCCCCTTCCGACGACAGGCTGGGGCCTGTGGGCTGCCCTCTCACACCCACCAGCCCCATCTCAGAACACGTTTGGCAATCTGCCTTAACAGCCTTAAAAATGTTCATTCCTATTAACCTAGGAATCTCATTTTTGAAAATCCATCACAAAGAAATGAGCCTAAATAGAGAAAAAAAAGACAGTCACTGTGGTGTTATTTTTTAAGGAAGAAACTGGAAACAACCCAAACTTCCAACAGTTGTGAAAAACAGTGTTTCCAGAATATGTATAGTAACGATGCGGGTAAAATCTTTCTAGTGTTTTCCTCTCTCAGGCCTAGTTTCTCAGTGAACCTGCACATGAAATGCCTAAGAGCGCACTGTTTTCTCAACTTGGAAATGAGACACGCCATGAGGTCAGAGGTTGTGACGGGGAGGCTGCTTCCCTGGGATCCTGCCCTCCGTGGGGAGAGCCGTCAGAGGGAGCTCCACACTCTCTCCTGCAGCCTCAGCCACACAAGAGGCGGCAGCTCTTGTGTTGTCATCTGAATGGCAGTTTAGAGACGGAAACAAAGAATGTCCTGCTGCCAGTTCAGTCAGCAGTTGTGTGGCCACCCGAGGCAGTGGGTGCTGGAGCAGCACGGACACCGGATGAAAGGCCTCTTTGGCAGAGAGTGTCAGACCCAAGAGCAGCCCCAGGGACCACTGTGTACTGAAAGGTGAGTCCCCCCATCAGCCCCCCGGGCCTGGACCACTTGCTGCCCATTCTGAGCATCTGGGAGCATTCCTGACCTGTCCTGGCCAGCCAGGGCCCGGGCAGCATCACAGACTCACTCATCGTCCCACTTCTAGTAGCATTGTGATTTCCTGTCCCCAAAACACAGCCCAGCGAGGGGAACTGTGGATGGGGGTGATGTGGGGACTGCAGATACACACCTCAGAGCCAGGGAAGGTTCTTGAATGGCAGACTCATAACTAACCCTGGACCCCCCAGACACAAGGGCTGTGAAGAACTGAGTCAAGCAACCTGAGGTCCGTGGAGCTGCCTGCAAGGTGCTTACCAAGGGCTGACTTGAGCACGGAGCTGCTGGAGAAGGGGGGGGTCACAATCCCCACGGAGTCCACAAAAGAGTTAAGTAATTTCAGGTACTCGAGAGCACTGGAGAATTCACTGCAAAGAAAAGAAAGGGTCCCATGCACATCAGAATGTATACAAGGACCTCACTCATGGCCTGGCTGGTCAGCCCCCAGCTCTGAGACCCACAGGGCCAGGCACACCCCGAACACTGCCCCACCAACCACTCCGGCTCACCCCAGGCTGCCCTGACATTGTTTCTGACACTGCGGGAAGAGCAAGGTTTCTCTTTCATCCCTTGCCTTTCAAGACCCAATTCAACCATGGTCTCTGCTCAGAAGTTTTCTGATCCCCCAGGCAGGAGATCCCCTCTCTGCCCAGGTGGACTCTCATCAGGACCTGGGCCTTGAATGAGAGTGATGCTGGCACCTGTCTGCCTCTCAGTTCTGACTCTGTGAAGGAGACTGTGCTCGGTGACTCCATAAGAATAAGACACCATCTGACCTCTCAGTACAAGTCTGGGTCCCCAAGATGTTTGGGCCAGAGGTGTCTGCCTTCTGCTGAGCTTCCCATGCTTCATTCTACAGGCCACCCTCCCCCTGCCAAAGGGCAAAGCAAAAAAAATCAAATCCCCAACCTGCTCCAAAAACTGACTCCACTCAGTGAAGAGACAGGTAGAAAGGAGAAAAGGGGGAAGTGATATACTTGGTGGGGCAGCAAGAAGCAAAGAAGCCAGCTCTGAGCCCACAGAGGGCTCTCATGGGGCTGCCAGGCTTGAGACATCAACATCAAAGAGTCACTGGATTTCCCTGCAGTGGCCACACTGGGGCTCGTTTCCTTAAGGGAGGTGGATCTCAGAGCTCCATCTGTGCTACCCAGGGGGGTAGCCTGAGGCAGGGGCGGGGCGGGGGGGGGCATATCCAAGGTCCGTACCAGCTCTCCTCTTCCTGGTCTGCAGCTTTCTTCTTGGCCTGAGGTTTTACCAAGGACTCCACAGCTCGCTCCAGCAGGTTCTTACAGAAGGCCTGGTGCACCTGGGCGATGGGGTCGGCTAAGAGAGGAGGAAGCCAGGAGAGGGGTGAGTGGGGCTCACGTATGAGCTCAGTTTGTCCTACAGAGAAAACAGAGTGTGGGGGAGGGACCCACTGAATGGGGCCAAACCTCCCCAACCAAACCCCAGAACTGCTTGCTGAACAGTCAGAAGTGGGGGGGGTGGGCAGGGGGAGGGTGGTCAAGTCCAAGACTACATGAGTCCTGGACTGGCTCCAGCGGGGGGCAGGAGGGGTGCTGTGTCTCCTGGCACAAGAGTCAGTCCTTTCATTCAAGGCTGGGAGCAGTAAGGTGGTGGCCACGACCCTCGTCAGCAAACAGAAACCAGGAAAATGGACAGCCACCCCAAGTCTCAGAGGCCACCCCTTCTCCCACGGCTCAGGAGCACGACTACCGAGGCCCCTACCTGACAGGCTGAGGAAGAGCCAGCTCCCGCTTACAGCCTTCACACAAGACCTGTGGCCAGAAGCTGTCTGGCCAAGCTGATTAAACAAGAGGCCTGGCAATGCTTGGCAATGACAGCTGCCTGTCACCAAGTCCCCCGACTGGCAGGCCCCAAACAGGGTGTCACCAGGCCCTTCCCCTCATGCACACACCACAGACGTGTGGGTTTCAACTTGACAAGGACGGGAGGCAGGACACTTGGGAATATATTCTGGGTGACAAGGCCTAGAACCAGAGCCACCAGAGGCGTGAGGGCCAGGGGCAGCCTCCGCTGCGGACACAGCAGCCTGGCCATGCATCCGAGACTGATGATGGCTTCTGCTTTTGCCCTTCCTCTCTGGGGTCGTGCGTCATTTTTACTTTGAACAACAGAATTACTGAGAAGAAACGACAGTGGACCCTGCCTTCTTCACAAGATGCTTGACACACACCCCTGAACTTGCCGACCACGTCTGACTCCCCACACTCCCAGTTCAGAGAGAGGAAAAGTGCAGACAGCACAAAGCCGCTGGCTGCTCAAGCCTGGGCCAACCTGACCGGCCTCTCCCGCCCGCTCCGAGGCTGGGCTAGTCGACTCTGATCACTGTCAGAAACCGAGGGCCAGCCAACCAGCCTCTTCCCCTGACGCCCGGAGCCCTGTCTCTGCCACCACCCTGAGCACTTGACAACCGTCTGTCGCCTGTTGTTCCCTAACTGCTCCGTCTATGTCTGTCTGTTTTCTGGGGGGGAGTGGGAGACCGGGGCCAGTGAGCAGCTCCTCCATACCCGCTGAGTCTCCACAGTGCCCGGCACAAGGGCAAGATCCTGGCTGGCGCTCAGTCACCCTTGGAGATGTGTGGCGGGGTGACTGATGTCAGGATCAAAGGCTGAGTGGCCCAGCGGCGAGCTGCAAACCCAGCTTCGCTGGCGACCAGGCTCACAACCTCCTGAGTGTAAGGAACTCACAGCCGAGGCACCCTGTGTCTCCACATGTCTGGGGGCAGCACCGGGGGCCTCCCGGGGCCAAGGCATTCTCACCTGGGTTCCTCTGTGCACAGTACAGACTTTCCCTGGCAGCTGACTTCACTGACCAGCTCCGTTCCATGAAAAACTTCTGGCCCAGGGGATGGCAGAGCCAGCGCAGCGAGTCGGGGACGGCGCTGCGCTCGGGGCCACACAGGCTCTGGGCGCGGCTGAGGAAGTAGCTCTGTGGAAGGACAAGGACCACGGTGACACCGGGCTGGCGGACACCGGCTGCCGCCAGCAGGAGGCCATCAGAAAGTGCCACCGCGGTGGAGGCGGGCTAGGGAAGGGTGGCCAGCAGGAGGGCTGGGACCCTCCACGCCTGCAAGTAGACACCCCCAGGAAACCAGGGCGGCGGCTCCAGGGGAACCTGCCAGGCTCAATGACAAACCCCAGAGGAAAGGGGCTAGGGGCTCAAGGCGCCCTGGGGGCTCGGCTGTACCCTGTCCTGCTGGGTCTGCCCAACCCGACCCGAATCTTGTTCTTGGCCATGCTGGCATCCAACCTGCTGAGCTGAGCCAGGCTCTCCCAGGCCCCCCTGCCCCCCCACAGCATGCCCGCCCTCAACCCTGTCCAACCCTGCACTCCAGCCAGGTGGCCCCCTGGGTCCTGAGACTTTTTCTCATCTACCATTTTAATTACATATCTTTCAGAGTATTTTTAGGTACAACTGTGTTCTGCTTTGACTCATTTTCATCTCTTTCACCTCCAAGTGTGAAGAGTTTAGAACAGGCACCCGGCAAGTGGCTGGCGACTGTCATTTACGGTCGCTATCAGTCTAGGAAGCACCAGAGTGAGAGGGCCGCCCTGAGGCTCGTCCAGGACACAAGCAGGCCTGCGTGATGCCCCTCCCTCAAGGCTGGTCTGGCAAGGGCTTTGTCCACCCTCCAGAGAACCCCCTAGGGTCCTCCCTGGTGGTCCAGTGGTTAAGAAGCCGCCTTACAGTGCAGGTGGACGCGGGTTTGATCCCTGTTTGGGGAACTAAGATCCCATATTCTGTGCAGCAACTGAGCTCATGTGCTGCCAACTACTGAGCCTGCACGCTGCAACTAGAGAGTCCACGTGCAGTGATGAAGATCCTATGTGCCACAACTGAGACCCAACACAGCCAAGCACATAAATGAATGAATATTGAAAAAAAAGAGAGAGAGACCCCCCCCACCCCACTGCCATCCCTGGGTGAGCCCTTGATGAGAACATTGGTCTCGTGAGGAAAAGACTCTGAAAGCCTCTTTACTAGAGAGCTCCTGCTTCCAGAGCCCCTCTTCTGCCCATAAGATAACATCACTCCAGGGCCCAGGGATAAACCTGCAGGGACAATGATGTCCATCCATGTTTTCAGAAATTGTGTCATTTTTTTTGACTGCAAGGAGATCCAACCAGTCAATCCTAAAGGAAATCACCCCTAAATATTCACTGGAAGGACTGATGCTGAAGCTCCAATACTTTGGCCACCTGTTGTGAAGAGCTGACTCACTGGAAAAGACCTTGATGGTGGGAAAGGCTGAGGGCAAAAGGAGAAGGGGGACAGCAGAAGATGAGATAGTTAGCATTGCTGATTCAATGGACATGAATTTGAGCAAATCCCGGTAGACAGTGGAGGACAGAGGAGCCTGGCATGCTACAGTCCACGGGGTCACAAAGAGTTGGATACAACATAGTGAGTGAACAACAACAAATTTTTATTCTAAAACCCACTAAAACCACTTGATAGAGTACAATCTGAATGAGAAACTCAGCAGAGAAAGATGGAGGGGAGAGAGAAGAGCACAGTGCAGGGAGCCTGGAGGAGGAGCGGCTGCTGGGCTGGGCCTCACCCGTCACACGGCAGCCTTGCCTTCACAACCCAGGAGGCTGCTTCCTCTGCTGGTTCAGCCTGACAGTTCTGACCTTTACTGGGCTCTGAGCACCATCAGCTAACGTGACGGTCTCAGAAGATTTGAATGCCAGGGTCAGAAATAGCCCTGCCAAAGTGCCACTCAAAGGACATGGACCAAGGAGGCTGGCTCTCTCAGGGGAACCTGGAGATGGTTACCTGAAACCAAAAGAAAAGGATGCGTGGTACAGTCCAGAAGAAAAGAGAAAAACAAAAACATAAGATCCCACATGCTGTGCTGTGTGGCAAAAAAACCAAAACAACAGCGGTAACAAAAAACTGCTCACTGCTTGTTAGGCACACTCAATGTTTTCGGGGAGGTGGGGCACTCACTGGGGGACCATCTCCCCCATCCTCAGCTGCTACACACATGCCTTCCTCAAACGGACAAATCCCTCTCACAGAGCAGCTGCATCTTAGCAACAAGGACAATCAAAACCCCGCTGGGATTTCCGGGCTGATGGACATGATCCTAAAATGTATACAGGAAGGTAAACAGCAGACACTAGTCACTAGAGCCGGAGGACCAACACTTCCAGATGTATTAGATATATGGTCACCAGGGGTGTGTGATATTGGTGGTGCACAACAGAACTGACCGGAGGGTCCAGAAGCAGAGTCCTCACACGCAGACATTTAATTTATGCAAAAGGGGCCACTGAGTGCAGCGGCGAGCAGTCAGTCATTTTAACAACAGATTCTGAGACAGGGAGACAGACATGTGAAAAAGAAAGTAGATAGCATCTCTGCCTCCAACTCATAAAAAAACCAGTTCCAAGTGGATTATGGACCCATGTGTGACATTTAAAACTAATGGGTCTATCAGACACCTAGTAGAGTATTTTCATGACACTGAGGTAGGATAAAGGAATATTAAAGAGGACATGATATATCTGTTAAGGAAAAGAACAGACTAGATTTCATGAACATTAAGAACTTGTGCTTATGAGAGAGAACAAGCAAGCTACAGAGTGGGAGGAGACACACGCAAAGCACACCTCCAACAGAGGATCCGAGCAGAGAGCTCCTCGAACCAACAGAAAGACGGACATCACAAATGAAAAACAGGTAGAAGACTTGAACAGGGTGTTCACAATGGAGACCATCCAGATGGCCCATGAAAGGGGCTCACAGCGTTAACCACCTGGGAGCTGTGAATGAAAACTATGAGATACCACCAGAAGGACTAGAAACACAAAACTATCCTGTGTCTGCTGAGGGTACAGAACTGAAGCTCTCTACACTGCTGGTGAAGTGAAAACTGGTTCATCCACTTTGGAAAACCACCAGGCTGTGGATACTGAAGCTGAGTATATGAAAACCTCTGAGCTAGCAGCGCCAGACCAGAGATGCAGGCACACGCCCACTGAGAGGAACAGGAATGGTCACAGCAGCACTATTCACAGTAACCAAAACAGGAGACAGCCCCCAAGTCCACTGGAAGTGTTCCGTCATACAGTGGACTCCCATGGCAGTGACGAGAACGGGCAATCTGTAACCACACAACATAACTGAACCTCACACATGGCACTGAGCGGAAGAGGGCAGACAGCTATAGGACACACGTGTGGCTCTCCTCATATGAAGTTTACAGACGCAAAACATCTGAGGTCATCAAGATGGCGGTTACCTGGCTGGGGGGCTTGGGGTGGGGAGTGGCAGTTTGCTGATGGCAAGGGCCCCAAGAAAGGCTTCCGGGGTCTGGGTCATTTTCTGTTTCCGGATCTGTCTGTTGGTTATAAGGGTGTGTTCATTTTGTGAAGTCACTGACCTGTGTATTTATAATTTGCATCCTTTTCTACAGGCATATTGTACTTTAATAAAAAGCTTCCAGGAACAACAAACAGCAGGGAGGTTAAACTACAGTGAGGGAATCCAGAACGACGGTCACCTCTGGGGCAGGTAGCATGGGTGAAGGCCTCTGGGGGTGGCAGGAACACACAACTTCTTGATCTGGGTGGCTGTTAAGTGGGTAAGTTCACTGTGTGAAATGTATCAAGTTGCTAAAATGGACACATTTTTCTGTGTGTATGTTGTATTTTGATTATGCCTTCAAAACTTCTTGGGGGGCAGAGAAGTGACAAATGTGCTGAAGCTGGTCCAGGGCACTAGGACGGCTCCCAGCCCAGAGAGGCCTTGACTTCCTCTAAGACAGGGTCGGGAGCTCAGCATGCTCTCCAGGCAGCCATCCAGACCCCACCTCATCCTGCTGACCCAAAGACCTGGGCCTGATCTGGGTTCCTGTCCAACTGTGAGCACCCCTGGCAGGGCAAAAGTCCTGCTTGCCACTGCACGTCCTCCCCGGGGAGTGCCTGGCCTCAGCAACCTTTGCTGAATGAACGGGTCTTGGAAACACGGTCTTCCTCTCCTGTGTCCTCTGTCACCCAGATTATGGTGACACACTTCAAGCACATCAGTGTCAGCACAGGGTACATTCCTGCTCATTCTCAGCGCATCAGTGCTATTAAAAGATATGGACATGGATGGGGGGATAAGATCATTCTATGTTGAACACAGCTGATGTGCTGGGCAGCCAACCCAAAGCCGACACTGAATAAGACATGCTTGTGCCTGCTAGAGGAAGAGAAAGCCTGAGGTCAGCAGAGGCTGTGAACGAGTTGGCAACACAGTCTGTGATTTATCCAGTTGAGAATTCCCGAGGCTGGCCCTGTGCCAGGCACACTGGAGGAAACCATGGTCTCCACCCGGAGTCTGACGCGAGCCCCTCACAAGACATACAGTGTTTTCCACTTCTAGACCCACAGAGCTGTGATCAACACAAGGTACCAAACAGAATGCTTCTCAGTTAATAACAGAACCAGGAGACACGACCAGCAGATTCTAAGCAGAAGAGTCACATATTAGCCTCTTGAATACAAGGTCACTCTTATCACTGAAGCAACACTCAGGGCACTAGAATGCCTCGTTCCACTTAAAATGGCTCGGGGGGAGGAATTCCTGTCTATTTTATTTACTGCCAAGTATCTGTGGAATGACCCACTGAGTGTACATCTACCCCTGAAGGTGGCCAGCAACTGAGGGCAGGGCCCACACCAAGTTTTACATCTTGGCTCCTGGCTGGGAAGGGCTTGCCTGGTGGCTCAGACAGTAAAGAATCCGCCTGCAGTGCAGGAGATGCAGGACCAATCCCTGGGTCAGGAAGATCCCCTGAAGAAGAGAATGGCAACCCACTCCAGAAGTCTTGCCTGAAGAATTCCAGGGACAGAGGAGCTTGGAGGGTTACTGTCCATGGGGTCGCAAAGAATTGGACATGACTGAGCAACTTTCACTCACTCACTAACTTGGCTGGGAAGGGTGCTCTGAGAAGGTCCAAGGGAGGGAAATGAAGGACACTCACCGCCAGGAAGCCCAGCTTGCCTCCACACCTGGTCTTGAGCCCCATGGCAGCGGTCAGGTGGATCTCCACCAGTGTGCTCGGCGGGATCTTCTCCTCGGCACATTCAGCCAGGTTCACCGCGCACAAGGCCATGTGTACGTCAGAACAGGCAGATCCCACGGGAAGCTTGCCTACGGCGGCAGAAACGGGATGATGATGTTGACAGAGGCCCTCAACCCATGCTTTCTCCTGCCTCCTCCAGCACCATCAGAACAAGGACAGAACCATGGCAAGGAAGCTGGTGGACTCTGTGATCAGGCAGCCCTGGATGGGGCGCCAGCCCTGCGACCCAGTAGCTCTGTGCTCCCTTCTACCTCACAGGTGGTTGAGGACAAGAGAAAGCACAGGTCAAACGCCTCAGCCCTGGGTAACAGAAGTGGTCAGGACTGCGGGTGAGTGGACAGGATTCTGGGGGGCTGGATGCAGCATTTTCCCAAACAGTGTCAACAGCATGGCCGTGTTCCGCTAATACAGTCCCATGTTTCCAAATGGTGCAAGAAAGGTTAAAAAAGTAAAAGCTGAATCTGAATTTATCTTGCTTCAGTAAGATCCCACAGTCTATAATCACATACCCTTTTGAGGGAAGGAAGTTACACAAAACTGAGCCATGACGGCTGGACACATCTTGGCAGGGAGGTGGAAAGCCAGGAGATGCTTACTGCACTCTCCCGTGAGAGCCATACGGCTCACCCGCGGTGACCCTGAGGTTGGGACCAGACCCCAGGACACTGTCAAGGCTCTGAGGCTCTCACACTGACACCTGCCTTGGTCCTCACTACAGCAAGGAAAGGTGGCCAGCACAAGCAGTTGCCTTGTTTTTTTTTTTGGGGGGGGAGAGCAGGTTGACCCTTGTGGGGGTGGCCAGCCAGGCCTCCCAACCCCACCCAACCTCTCTGGTCTCATATCAGGCCCCAGAATTCATTTGGCACAGACATTAGGTACTGTGGTCTTCCCAGGAGGAACCACCAACTGGGCTTTCTCCTTTGCGGGGAAGGCAGTGTGGGGACCATGTCGTCTCTCTGTCACTCTGTCCTCTCGGGGCCCTGCTCAGGGCCAGGCCCGCCGAGTGCTGGGTTGAGTGTGGGGGATGAGCAGTGTGAAACATCCCAGCTGGAATTCTCCTCAACAGATGCAGCTTCCGGATCAAAGACCTGGATGGAGCCTGTTCCATCCCCAGGGGCTCAGGATGGACGGGGAAGCAGGGAAGGTCTGCACATGGGGCCCCACTGCGAGAGCTCTACAAGGCCACAGGTGTTCCAGCCCCACGGCTGCCCCAGTGTCTCATCTCCACCCCCCTGGGGCCTAGGAGCGCCCCACCCCCGGGCGAAGCTCCCCCAGCCACCAGGCTGCCTATGGCCTTCCTGTCACTGCACCCACAGCTGCTCTCTGCCCTCGTCTTACCCACATCCCAGCAGCAACCTCTCTTCTTGAACCCTTTCCTCCCCACACACCAAGCCTCTCGGCCTCTCCTGCCTGATCACCTCTTAGGTCAGCCTCTGCCCACTCCCTGTCCTTTCTGTGTGGGTCTCCTCCCACATGCCCTGGAGGGGCCCTTTCATCACAAGCCCTCTCATCAGCGCCCATGGCTTTCATCTTCACCCACAGACCAGAGACCCAGCTCCTTTCCGTGGATGGCAGATCCGGTGCGGCCCCCAACCACTGAATAGCCCTCCTCAGTGTCTCGTGGGCAAGGGTCCCGAGCTGGATGTCTCACCTCCTCCCTAAAAAGCTGTGTGTCTCCTGTTCTCCCCACCTTTATTGGTGGCAACATGATTCACCCCAACTCTCAAGCAAGAAACCAGGGAAGCCCCTTACCCTTCCCAGGCAATGAGTCCCCAAGGCCTGTCAACCCCACCTGCTCCTTCCTCTCTGTGTGTCCTCTCAGCACCTGCACCGGCTCCCACAAGGCCTCCCAAAGGCAGCCTCTTCATTGGAGCGAATCTTCTCGGCTTCAGAGCACAGGCCTGACGATGCTGTCGCCCCCACTGCGCTGGCTCCTGTCACCCTCCTGTCACACAGCGGAGCCTCTCCTTGGGAACACCTCCCCCTGCCCGGAAGGCATATCCCCTCGGCAGAGCTGGTGAGCTCCAACGCCTCCTTCCATGCAAAGCCAAGATTTGACACGAAGCCTTCCAGGGCCCTACCCAACAGGGACCCCTCCCCTCCCAGCTGAAACCCAACTCTCCTGTGACCCCTAAACCACACTGAACTGTAATCCACCTGCTGACCAATCTGCTTCTCTATTACAGCAGGACTTCATGGAATGAAATAAAAGATCATGTTTCACTGATTCTAAGACGCCATCAATTTTAAGTTTCTCCATTAACTTAAGCACCACCAAGGAGAAAGCACTGCCAACTCAACCATGACACTCAATGTGTAAAGGACACAGCCTGGTGCAGAGATGTTAAAGTGAAAAAAACACGTGTCTTATAATGATGAAAGACTTCCCTGGTGGCTCAGATGGTAAAAAATCTGCCTGCAATGCGGGAGATCAGGGTTCGATCCCACAGTTGGGAAGAACCCCTGGAGGAGGGTATGGCAACTCACTCCAGTATTCTTGCCTGCAGAATCCCATGGACAGAGGAGCCTGGTGGGCTACAGGCCATGGGGTCGCTAAGAGTCAGACACGACTGAGTGACTAAGCACACACAATGAAGAACTGCAATCTTCACAGCCATGGCCGTGGGTGGACGGTTGGTCTAACCATCCTCAACGAGCGTTGTAAAGGGGACTTTGTTCATCTGGGGCAGAAAACTGCCAAACTGAGCCCAGGTGGGGAGATGGCGCAGGCACTGGGAGGCAAGCCAGGCCGCGGCTGCCAGCCCTCACCTGTGATGTGCAGCTGGTGCAGCCTGTGGTAGGCCAGGGCTGCGTCCCGGGCACTGGTCTTCGCTTCCTCCTCGAAGCCCGCAGCAGTGGCTGGGGCAGCCCGCCGGTGCTGGAAGACCTTCTTGAGCAGCCAGCGCACCAGGCGCAGCTTCTGCAGGCTGTAGCGGATCACGTTCCAGGAGAGGCTACAGGCCAGGTCCAGGCGGGAGGTGGGCAGGGCCCGGCCCAGCACCGACAGGCAGGTCTGTAGATTGGCTGCAGCCGCCGCAAAGTTCCCCTGGCAGGAAGCGAGAAGGTGTAATGTTCGCCGGCCTTGGGGCAGCCGTTTAGTTTAGCTTTAGTGAAAACTCTTACTTTCTCTTCAGACCCCCAGGTTATCAGAGTAATGCATGCTTAGTGAAGAAAAATCTGGGAAACTCAGAAAGCTACAGAAAAGTACAAAGAAATCACCTGGAATCTTATCCCCTAGGATGACTGCTGCCATTCTGATATACTTCCTCCCAGCCTTTTTGCTAAATTGGGATTGTACTGCATTCTATCTGTAAGCAAATATTCTATGCAGAATTTCCCACAGTACCTTTCATACGTAAGATGATAACATGGATGGAGATGATGAACCATGTGATCTTTTAGGCTTTTCGGTTCTCAAAGTGTGGTCTCCAGAGACCAGGAGCATCATCAGTCCCTGGGATCTTGTTAGAAATGTGAATTCCTGGTTTTCCATCCCACCCCTTCCCCGCTACCCACTCAGAACCTCTGGGGTGGGCCCTCAGGGTGGTCCTGATGACCCTGAAGTTTGAGAACCACAGTTTAAGACAAATATGCAGTCAAATTACTCTGACCGAGGATCTGAACATGTCTCTGCCAACCTGAGAGGGCCTAGTGGATAGTCTACTGCCCTGTATTGAAGACCCTGTCTGTGTTTTTCTCATTCCTGGAGGCCACACTTGGGAAACTGGGGTCAACACTCTTCTTTCCCATCATGCAATGGGTAGGACACCTGAACCTTCCCTCCTGTACCTTTGAGAAGAGAGGACCCTAAAGAAGAGGGACAGAGGATGCCCATGCTCTGAGCATGACAGTCTTTGAGCCGGTGCGCAGACTCACCCGGGCAAGGTCCAGGTCTGCCTGCTTCCGGTGCCTCCAGAAGGTGACTGAGGAGCGCGAGTGTGGCCGGATCACTGGCTCCCCGTGAACCAGCAGCTTCACAAAGACGCTCAGCACGATCACACCGTTCACCAGCCACAGGAGGAGTGTCGGCATCATCCAGTCGAGCCAGCCCCTGGAGCCTAAGGAGGAGCGGCTCAGCTGAGCCTGGGAGGGAGGGCCCCCCACGGAGGGCAGCCCTGGGGGAACTACGGGGCACCTGACCAACCCCTCGGGGTGACAGGAAGCAGCCTCCTCCCTCAAGTTTGGAACAAATGTGATTGTTTCATTTAGTAACAATGTCTAAGTGCCTAGGGCATGAATAAATACATGCAATTAATCCACACCTAGAAAATCTGGGACAATTCCACAGCCTCAATAGGAGCCCTGGAGCCCTTGTCACCATGGGGCAGGACGCCACACAAATCTTTGTTGGCCAAGGCAGGGCTCGGCAGCTGGTTTAAAGACTCTGGCAGTAGACTACATCCTCCTCCAAACAGGCATACCTTCAAAACCCCAATTACAGCCAAGCAGGGTCCTGATTTTTTTTGCTATTTCTGACTGAACTTAGGTTTGCCCTGTTACTTGTGCATGCGACTGATGCCAGTTGCTATCAGAAGCAAGCAGGCAGAGGCCCACTTCGAAAGCCTTTTGGGACCTGGTGACAAGCCGAGCGGGTTGCGGGCAGGGCCTTCTCCTGCCACAGCAGCCCACTCGTGCGCAGGTGGCAGGAGGCGCCCTCCACCTACCTGACTCGAGCGACAGCATGCTGCGGCCAGGGCCTGAGTGCGGGTGCTGGTCTGCCTCGTGGGCCCCTCCCCACTGCAGCAGAGCGGTCAGGGGGTTAAAGGAGAGGCAGAGGAAGGTGAGGACACACAGCAGGATGCGAGAGCGGTCCACCATGCCCAGTGAGACGGGAGGAGAGTCTGGCTCATCTTTGACCTTCAAAACAGGGGGCGGCGAGGTGAGAAGGAAGACTTGTGTGGGTTTTTATAGCATTTTACTTTATATATATCGGAATCGGGACTCTGAGATTTCAATCCAAGACCATGAAGCTGGATGGGAATAAACTCAGGCTGGAACTAAGAGGTTCACGCCTCTCCCACTGCTGCTCAGGCACGGGGAGCCCTTGCCCCCTTGCCACCTGGGAGGAGAACACGTTCTACATACCGGAGCACCACAGTGCTCCGACACAAAAGAGAACACCCTGAGGGATTCTGCTTCTGTGTAATTCCACAACTGGCAAGCTGATCTAAAGCAACCAAAGGCAACATCAGAAGTTAAATCTGAGCCTGGAGAGACATGGGTGAACTTCCTGCAAAGGTGTACGTTCACAGGAGATAAATATGTTCTGTATCATTTTTTTTAAACTATAAAGGATTTATTCATTTATTATTATTTTTTAATTAAAGTATAACTGACCTACAAATACTATGTTGGCTCCAGGTGCACAACACAGAGCCTGGATTATTTTCATACATGACACTATCTCTACAATAAATCTAGCTGCCATCTGTCACCAGACAAAATTATCACAACATTACTGACTATTTTCCCCATGTTGTAAAGCTCCTCCCTCTGACTCATTTATTTTTTATCTGGAAGTCTGTATCTCTAAGTCTCCCCCTCTCCCAAAACCCTCCACTCTGGCAATTACCCATTTGTTATCTTTATCTAAGCATCTGCTTCTGTTTTGCCCATTTTTTTTTTTTTTTTAAGATTCCACATACAAGTGAAATTATGTGTGGTTAGCTTTCTCTGTCTGACTCATTTCACTTAGCATAATAGCCTCTAGGATCATAGAGGTTGTCACAAAATTTCATTCTTTTTTATGGCTTTTTCTTCAGGAAAAACAGCCAGAAGTAGAACTGCTGAATTGGATGGTAGTTCTCTTTTAAACTTTTTGTGGAACCTCCATATTACTTTCCATAGTGGCTGCACCAACTACATTCCCACAACAGCTGGGTGAGGGTTCCCTTTTCTCCACATCCTCGCCAACACTTGTCATTCTCTGTCTGACTGATTTCACTTTAGTATAATACCCTCTAGGTCCATCCACAGTGTCACAAATGGTAAGATTTCATTCTTTTTAATGGCTAATATTTCATTGCATATATACCACATCTTCTTTACCCAATCATCTATTTATAGGCACTTAGGTGGCTTTCATACCTTAACTATTGTGAATAAGGCTGCAATAAACACAAGGGTACATATATCTTTTCAAATTGGTATTTCTGTTTTCTTCAGAAAATACCCAGAAGGGGAACTGCTAAATTGGGTGGTAGTTCTACTTTAAACCTTTTTTTAAGGAACCTCCCTCCATACTGCTTTCCATGGTGTGTGTGTTAGTCACTCAGTGGTGTCCAACTCTTTTCGGCCCCATGGCCTGTAGCCCACCAGGCTCTTCTGTCCATGGGATTCTCCAAGCAAGAACACTGGAGTGGGTTGCCATTTCCTTCTCCAGGGATGAACCCAGGTCTCCCACACTGCAGGCAGATTCTTTACTGTCTGAGCCACCAGGGAAGCTTTCCATAGTGGCTGCACCAGTTTACATTCCCACCAACACACTAGGGTTCTCTTCTCCACATTCTCACCAACACTTGTTATTTGTTGTCTTTTCGATAATAGCCATTCTGACAGATGTGAGGTGGTACCTCACTGTGGTTCTGATTTGCATTTCCCTGGTGATTACTGATGCTGAACACCTTTTCATGTGCCTGTTGGCCATTTGTATGTCTTCTCTGGAAAAATGTTCATGTCCTAGGATCATTCTTAAATTGTTTATTCTTCTGATTTTGAATCCTATAAGTTCTTTGCATATTTTGGATATTAACTCCTCATCAGACAAATACCATCTTCCATTCAGTAGGTGGCCCTTTTATCTTGCTGATATTTTCTTTTGCTGGAAAAGCTTTTTAGTTTGCTGTAGTCCCATTTGTTTACTTTTGCTTTTGTTTCCCTTGCCTGAGGAGACATACTCAAAAAAACATTGCTGAGATGAGTAACAAAGAGCATACTGCGTGTTTTCTTCTAGGAGTTTTATGGTTTCAGGTCTTACATTTAAGTCCTTAATCTGTTCTGAGTTTATTTTTGTAGATGGTGTGAGAAAGTAGTACATCTGATTCTCTTGCATGGAGCTGTCCTGTTTTCCCAGCGGCACTTACTAATGAAGCTGTCATTTCCCCCCTTTGTATATCCTTGCTTCCTTTGTCACGGATTGACTGAACACCTAAGTAGGTTTATTTCTGGGCTTTTTATTCTGCTCCATGGATCTAAGTGTCTGTTTTGTGCCAATATCATACTGTTTTGATTACTGAAATCAGGGAACCTGCTACCTCCAGCTCCACTGTTCTTTCTCAAGACTGTTTTGGCTACTTGGGGTCCTGTGTTGCCATATAAATTTTAGGATTCTTTTTTCTAGTTCTGTGAAAAATGTCATTGGTATTTTGATAGGGATTGCACTGAATCTGCAGACTGTCCTGAGGAGTATGGTCATTTTAGCAGTATGAATTCTTCCAGTGACGAGCACGGTATATCGTTACATCTGTGTCCATCACCATTATAGGTTTCTTTCATCAGTGTCTTACAGTTTTTTTAGTAAAGGTCTTTTAGCTACTTACTCAGATTTATTCCTAGATACGTTATTCTTTTCGATGCAACTGCAAATGAGATTGTTTTCTTAATTTCTCTTTCTGGTACTTTGTTAGTACAGAAATTCAACCAATTTCTGTATATTAATTTTATATCCTGCAATCTTGCTAAACTTATTAATCTAGTAGTTTTTTGGTGGCATCTTTAGAATTTTCATAGTATCATGTCATCTGCAAACAGTTTTACTTCTTCCTTTTCAATTTGGATTCCTTTTAATTTCTTTTTTAGGATTTCCAATTCTATGTTGAATAAAGTGGCAAGAGCGGGCATCTTTGTCTTTTTTTTTTGGCCATGTAGTGCTGCTTATGGTATCTTAGTTCATCGACCAGTGATCAAACCTGGGCCACCGGCAGTGAAAGCGTCGAGTCCTAGTTACTGGACCACCAGGGAATTCCTCTGGGCATTCTTGTCTTCCACTTGATCTTAGAAAAAATACTTTCAGTTCTTTCCTCTATATCATGATTATTGTGAGTTACATAAGTGTATATATTTATGAAAACACATATTGTACAATACAGTAAAACAGGTGTATTTTATCACATATAAATTATACCTCCAAGTTGATTAAAGACCATACTTTAGTATGAATCTATTTTCAGAAGCTTACCTATTCTAAACCCACAACATTGTTTTCTCCCCATTTTACAGAAGAACTGGAGGCAGACGCTCTGCCGGCCTGGGGAACCAGACTAGAGTCGGATCTCCCCTGACTCCCACTGTATTACATACCACGTCATTCCTCTTCAACATTTTTAAGCCACTTGAAAATTTCTTCTGACGATTCAGACACTTATCCAATTTAAGGTATATGTCATATGGATTTGTGTTTCCAAACAGAACCACACTTATAAAATATTTCAAAAATAGAGCTTCCTTAATAAAATTAAGCAGATGCTGCAATAAATAGTCTGATCAACAACTTATGGTAGAAGGAAACTTTGTGCTTTTGAAGCCAGAAACTGCCAGTGTCAAAATACAGTACAAAACCCAGTGGTCTCCACAGGGTCCTAGGAAAATCATTAGGCTTAATTCTCTTCTAACTAACTCCATTAAACAACAATTGCCAGGGGCTTTCTTCCACAATTAAAGGCCCTTGGTAGGAATGTTATCTGTTAAGGCTGCAAATTGTAATCATCTCCTGAAGAGGACCCAGAGGCAGCTTCATCCTAACCCAACTGATCAACCTCACAAAGCGGTCTTGCCAGGCTCATTACAAGCAAGGAAAGCAATGAGGCGCCTCCAGCAACTCCTAGCTCCGCGTGACAGCTGCTGTGTGTCCCCGTTCTGGATTCAGCCCTTATTCCTCTCTGATGGGCCCATTCAGCAAAGACCAATAAAATCAGAGGCTGTCTCCCCACATAGAGTCAGTCTTCTTTTTCTTTAGTTTTCAGCATGTGCCTAATTTCACAGAATTCTTGCTCCTCTCCAGCCCGAGGCCTCTGAACACCTGGCCTGGACCTCTGTCTGCAATCTCCCCACTATTAACTTACAGGAGATGGGAGAGATTCCCAGAGTCAGGGGATTTCAAAAGCTCATTACCTTTGCATCATCCAATAGAGGGCTTCCTGGCTCTGAGTCGATGGAGTAGGGGGAGAAGCCGGCCTGGGATCCTGAGTCGGAGGCCGGAGGCGACATCAGAAGGACATTCTGATTAAAGTCATCGATCTTCAGGTCCATGTCATTGTCCACCAGGCTGCCCAGGTTGATGCCCTTGAGGAGCTCTGTAAAGAAAACCCTACCTGGCAAACGGTCCATTTTACAACACTTGACCTGGGCCAGGGCGGGGCTAGGAGGGACACACAGCCCCTGCTCCTGCTTCACCCATTAAGCACACACACCCGTGGACCCTCCCCAGTGCCCAACACAGGACTTCTGCTATAAGGAGCACACTCACTGTTCTTCTGATTTGCCAGTTTCAGCACCATGTTCTCCTGGCGCAGTTTATGATTGACCTGCTGCAAGTATTTGATGTAGTCGATGGCCTTCCTCAGAACGCCAGACTTGTGCATCTGGGAAGGAAGACGGGTGAGAAACACAGGAGCATCAGACCAGCCTGCACAGTGAAGGCAGCAGAGGCCCAGAGCTTCGGCTCTGGAGTGGGAGGTCTTTGCTGGGTTCAGACCCTGATTCTTCCACTAACTAGCTGTGTAACCCAGGATAAGTTACTCAACATCTCTGAACCTCACTTTTCCTCCTCTGTGAAATAGGGATAATGACAGTATATAAGTCATAGGCTTGCCATGAGGGTTAAAAGAGATAATATGTATAAAGGGCTTAGTCTCTGGCCTGGCACATAGTAGCATTAAATATTAGCTGTTATTCCTACTTCCTATAATAATCCTTGCACCAAAACAAACTTTAAGGAAAATAAACAACAAACAAAAAACCAGAGCACTGTTGGATGGTTATCTTAAATAAAAGTATATCAGTACCTTTCAGATTTGTAGGCTACCAAGAAAACTGTATTTTCTTTGTAAATAGAGGTAAAGATAAACAGATAATAGATTTAAAAATCTACATGCCAAAGCCAAAAGATACATTAATTGAAACACCAGAAGTACATGAAAAATCAATTTCCTCTTATTTGTTCTTGGTCAAAGACCCAATCTACATTTTATCTCCTCCCTAAAAGGTTAAAATATTGCTAGTCATCCCTGAATATGATTAAACATTTGCCAAAAATGCCATCAGCTGACTAAGAGGTGCACGCGGTCCTGTGCTTGGCCATCAGTGAGCAGCAGGAGGCTGTGACGTGGTAGTGGTGGTTGTGGGGGGCAGTGAGTAGCCACCACTGCAGAGCAGAGTCAAAGGGCCACACAAGCTACTGCCTGACCAACTCCCAACAGCTAAACTTTATAGAATTTCAAAACACCAAGATGCTTTAATAAGAAAGCACCTTTATCTATTCCTGCATTCACTCACTTGAGCCTGGGTCTTCCCTAAATTCCCAGAGCAAAGACAGACAGAGGGGAGATGATGGGGCATGAGACAACATTCTGCTTGGCACCCACCTTGGCATCAGTCCCCATGACCAAGTCCTTCAACTCAATGATTTTGTCATTGATAGAGGAGCGATACCGCTTCTCGATGATGTTGTGTGTCGTCCGCCTTTCTCCTTCCTTGGGAGGCTCGAGCTGCTTGACTCCCCCGGGGACCTGCTTAATGGGCACTTTCTCTTGTCCCATCATCACAGGCATTGTGGTGAGAATGGTCCCATTGCTGCCCACCAGGGTCTAGAACAGACGTAAGGTCAGAATGACTGCCTGGTTAGCATTAAGGAAAGCAACCTCAGGTCACGAACCCACTGGCCCTGGCCATGTGGCATCACTTGAAAATGCTTTGCGTGGTCTGACGCGTTGCTTGGGATAATCAAGTCTGGAAGCCCTGGAGCCACAGTATCTTGGTCACTGTGCCCTTTCAGAGTCACTGCTGATTAGCCTGTGCCACAACAGCATTAGTGTGGATCAATGCCAACCTTTGGTTTAAGGATGCCAGAAAATGTCTACAGTTTCTGCTTCGCTTTCAACCCATCAGCTGCTTCTGAGCTCGTGTACAATGCTGCACCAACCACAAAACTTTCTCCTGTGTGTGACACATGTTTTCCTCTCACATGACAGAGAACTAACTTATTGGGTTTCCTTATACAATTTGACCATCAAAAACCTCAAGGGCAGAAGTGACAATCAGAGCCATTATATTAAATAAACACATCAACTATGGAGGCATCCCCCTGTTTTCCCCTCAGATCTGCTTTTCCTCCTCTATTTTCACTAATTTTAGTTTTACTTTCTTCAACAAACGGCTTCAATATCCAAATGGCCAATGAGCAGATAAAACGCTTCTCAAATGTATGAGTCATCAAGAAATAATTTGCACATGGTCAAAAGTACACATTTCAAGTGTACAACTTAATGGAACAGTGTATGTAACCAACGTAACCCTGACGAAGACACAGACCCTTTCTATTTCCCAAGAAAGTTCCCGTATGCTCCTTCCCTGTCTTCGTAATCACTGCTCTGACTTCTATCACTGTCTTCTTAAACTTCATACACTGGAAACATGAGCATGAATTCTTTGCGATCAGCATCTTTTGCTAAGCATACTATTTCTGAAGGTCAGCCACGTAGCTGTATGTATCAATAGTTCTTTTTGGATGGATAGCTGGGTTGTTTCTGATTCTTGGCTTTTATGAATAATGCTTACTTTTGATTTCTGATCACTTTTTTCTGTCAGACTCTCTGGTCACAAGATGCAGACAGTGACCAAGACCCTATACCTTAAGTAAGGGATATTCCATGCCCCACCTTGAAGCCCTTCCCTGCCTAGGGTCCTTCAGAAGCTAAACCTCCATCAGCAGGACCTAAGAGGCGGATGGTCCTGGGTGGACCTGCAGCTCCTCTGCGGTCCCTCCCTTGCTCCTCATAAACCCTAGGACTCCCACATAACACTCGGTGCTGGTACTTCTCAAGGGGAAAAAAAAAACTAAAAAGAGGTGATTTTGCAATTTGACTGACACATTCCATAGAGTTTCTGCATCCATTCAGTGTCTGGAGGTTTTGTTAACATCTCTGAGGCCTAATACCCCCAAGAAAGAGGGGGCACAGCTCTTACTGGAACTTGCAGGGCAGCTGTCTGGATGGGGGTGGTGAGGGCAGTGAGGGCGGGGTTCTGGACCGCGGCCATCACAGGGCTGCCATCTGTCTTCAGTGTGGTCAGGACAAGGGAGTCTGTCTTGATGATCTGAGGCTGTACCAGGACCTGCATGGAAAATGAAGAAAAGGAAAAGGAAGGTAGCACTGTATTTCTTTTTTTCCCTCTTTTGGCTGCACCATCCAGCATATGAGATCTTAAGTTCTCAGACCAGGGATGAAAACCACACCCCTTGCAGTGGACGTGTAAAGTCCTAACCATTGGACCACCAAGGAAGTCCTGGCAGTGTTATTTTTCTATTTTGCGTTACTTCTTGCTGCAAAGACCCTCCAGACAAGAATGATAAAATTTTCATAAAACTGAGAATGTAGCTTGACTACTGGGTTGAGGGGGAGAAAGAGCACAGCTAAAGAGGGTTTGGGGCTTCGCTTCTCAAGTGGCTCAGTGGTGAAGGATCTGCCTGCCAAGCAGAAGACATGGCTAGATCCCTGGGTCGGGAAGATCCCACTGAGAAAGAAATGGCAACCCACTCCAGTATTCTTGCCTGGGAAATCCCATGGACAGAGGAGGCTGGCAGGCCACGGTCCATGGGGTCGCAAGAGTCGGCTACCACTCAGCGACTAACTAACAACAACAAAGAGGGTGTTGGGATGGAAGGCTGAAAGGCTTCAATGCGAGCAGTGCCAGGAGCCTAGCTAGTGAGAAGACGACGTGGCGCGGAGGGACTGTGGAAGGGAAAGAGATCTGATTAGGGACAAACTTAGGAATGCCAGGAACATGGCTGAGAAGCAAAAATGGTAAACCTGGATTTTTTTTTTTAAGATAAATTACTTCATTAGTTAGAAATACAGTCCACCTTGTTGCATGTCTTAAAAACATTTTAGCACATCTGTTTTCAGTTTTATACTCACTACATGTGCAAATAAGTTAATACACCAGCATTTACTGAGTTTATATGAGTGCCAGTGTCCACCTACATATGTTATCTCTGCTGGGTCTCACGGGTGCTTCGTAAGGTTCAGTGGCCCCAACCTGCCCCCACCAGTGGCTCCCTCACACCCTGCTGGCCCTGCTTGGTATGTAGACCCCATCCTCCATCACAGACTGGCGGAGAGCCCCTACCATGGCCTCCCAGAACTCCTGCCAGCCACCTACCGGGACCTGCTGCACCTGGGGCGCAGCCACTGTCTGCACCGTGGCCGGGGCCAGGGTCTGCAGCGTGCCATTGGCCGTCTGCGTCAGCACCCGCTGGGCCTGCACCGTCTGCACCTGCTGCTGGATGGTGACTGGCTGCACCTGGGAGGAGGTCACTAGGCTCTGAACTTGCGGCTGAAGGACTTGGAAAGAGAGGAGAAGAAAAGTCACATAGACAAGGAATGCATTCTGTCACTGTAGCTGCACTGTAACCGAGTGCCTCAGAAGGACCCCAGCTCCCTGCCTGCTTCTGGAGAGGATGTGGAAAGCCGTCCACAAGCTGGTCAAGTGGACAAGAAGATCCCGTGAGGGCTGCCTCAATTTCTGAGCTAATGAGTAGAAGCTATTTCATTACTCCAGGTGCTGGAGTGGAGGTAAGGGGGGCTAAACAGCAAATGGCTGCCCCCAATGAGCGAGTTAACAGATGTTAGAACCAACTCCCAGGGCTTCATTGGCTCCCAGGAAATGGATGGAAAGTGTACCTTAGGATGACTGTTTTGGATTTTGCTCTGTCACCTTTCCCCAGACCCAAAATCCCTGAAGCCCGCTGAAGAGCTGGCAGATCCTATGAAATAAATTAGTACAGCAGGACTAATCCCACCCTGGGCTCCCCACAGGGTCAGAGAAAAATCCCAAGAAAAGGGGCTGGGACACTGCACAGCGCAGACACAGTGCAGAAAGTTGCTGGTTCACTCCGCACACAGCCGAGGCCCACCACTTCGAGAGACAGGGTGACTACATCAAAGGTGCGCGCCTCTCCGTGGTGGATGCTCAGATGTTGGCTGGATACCGGGTTCTCAACCTACAGGAACTGCGATCCTCCTGGGGCCTGGGTTAAGTTTCAAGACCCATTTCATGCAAATCTCCACCTCTAGTTCTCAGGATACCCCTGAGCCTACTGTGCCTGTCAGGAGTCTCTGACCACGAATCCTTGAAGCAGGCCCAACAGACATTAAGGTATCTGAAGAGCGGGAACCTGATCCTGCACCACTAGGCTCAGTTAACCAAAACCTCATTCAGACTGGGCCAGATCAGGAAGATTCTGTCATCCCCAGGGAAGATTCTGTCATCCCCAGGGAGGCAGAACTCTTCACGATCTGCCTCCGCAGGGCCTGCAGACTGGCCAGAAAACTTTTGAACCCACTAAAGGCTATGGCATCTGAGTTCTCGAGTCACCTTGAAAGCTGGTAGCTGCATTCTGGTAGATGACGGGCTGCTGGATGATCCTCGTCTGCGGAGCGGTGCTGAAGGACGGGGTGATCATGACAGTCTGCGGCGGCAACGGGGCAGGGGGCGGGGGCTGCGGCTGGGGGCGGGGCTGCAGAACCGGGGCCGCCCTTGGCTGGGTGGGACCCGAGGCGGCGGGCGCCTTGACCTGGAGGGTCGCAGCCTGCGGGGAGGTGGCCGAGGGGGAGAAGGCCGGCAGCGGGACCTGACTGAAAGGCCGCTGCCCGGAGGGGTCCCCGCTCCCAGCTCCACCACCGCTGCTGCTGCCCCCGCTGCCGCCGCCGCCGCCGCCACCGCCACTGCCACCGCCACCGCCGGGGAAGGAGCCGCAGAGCGGCTCTGAGAACAAGTCAGGGAACTCGCCCACTTGATTGCTGACAAACTGCAGCATCTCTGTGAACACACGGAGAGGGGGAATTTTACTGACGTCCAAAACGTCTAGTGGGTAAACGTGTGATAAAATGTCTAGGTTGTACCTGTTTGTGTATAGCTTTGGATCTAAAAAATTAAAGAAACTTGAAAAGTATTTGGCATCATAAACAAACAAGATGTTGATTAACTTTTAAATTTGCTTAAGAACCTGAGGCATGAGAACTTGGGCAAACTCCAGGCGATGGGAAGGAACAGGGAGGCCTGGTGTGCTGCAGTCCTCGGGGTCACAAAGACTGGGACGTGACTTAGCAGCTGAACAACAACTGAGGCGTGAGAAAATCCAACAGCTTTCCCAAGACCAGGGCAGAGACGGGTGACCTCTCTCTCGCGTGGGGACTCAACGGGGCCAACATGGCCGACCATGGGCTAGCGCTACAGGACTTCCCTTGGCTCCTGTTCTTCTCCCTCCTCACCACCTCCAGGCTCACCCTGGCCCCTTTCCTCATTGTCTGCATCAGGTCTAATAGGAGCCGCCTCTGTGCTGGGTGAGTGCTGCCTTTGGAGGGGACTGCTGGCCCCATTTTACAGCTGGGGGAGTCACCGCCCTAAGTCTTTGGGGCTCAGCAGCCTTGCACTGGGAGGCCACCTTCAGTCCCGGCCAGCACTGCTCCCCACGGCAGAGCAGGAGTTGGCCAGACCTGACTCTCCTCACCACAGGCAGGCTCTAGGCCTTCCCGCCATCCTGGGCAATGGAACCCGCAAGGACGACAAAGGTGATGGCCCTGAAGGAATGATCTTACACTAGGTCGAGAACAAGGAAATCACTCAGCCAAGGTCACATAGCACACCAGGGCACAGCAAGGATTAGAACCAGTTCTTGGCCTCCCACCTTCAAGTTTCTTCCACTGTACCATCAGAAGGTCAGGGCAGAACAACCCGGGCCCTGGACTTCTCTGGCTGTGCCCCTTCCCTTTGGGCAAGGAGTCTGTGGGGCTAAGGGCATGTGTCCAATAGAGACCATGCCCCCCTTCTAGATCATGCTCTTAAGTACCTGGTACCCTAAATTCCCAGCCCTGAGGGCCTCAAGCTTGCTTCCAGGGCCTCTTCCTCTGGTTCATCCTCCCAAAGGTTTACCCAAACCGAATTTAATCCAAGACCAACAACTCGTCTCTCATGACTCCTTCCCTCCCCATAGGGCTGCTTCCCAATGGGAGTCTGGAGCCTCAACAGTGTCCGAGGTATTTTCAGATCTACAGTCCTCTACCCGGTCCACATCCTCTCCCTTTTCCTTTCCAATATATTCCCAAGAAACTACTGCTTGTTCCTAAACTGTGGCATCCTCCTCTCAAACTCTCAAGGTGGCAGGAGGCTCTGATCTGGTCACACAAATAAAAAAGAAAAACAAACAAAAGCCCTTAAGCACTATCTCCAACCATTCTCCAAACCTCCACCAGCAAGCCCTTCCCAGGTCTCTAACTGTGTGTGTGCGTGTGCTCATCATGCGTGTGAGAATTTAGGCTATGAAGAGTCTATGATAGGCAAGCAGAAAGCTACCCAGGGATTTCTAGTGTGACCTAGCAGTTCAGCACATTTAGTGTTCAGTCAGTTCAACCTGCTGGCAAAACAGCACCTCACAAGATTAAATGACTACACAGTGGTGTTATTTACCAACACCTCAAAACTCGGCTCCGTCCCCACTCAGCCTGTCACCTGTGGGAGGGAGGAGTGGGCAGAATACCACAGATAACTAACTTGCACCAGCTAATTCCAATTTCTCATACATGATTATTGAAAAATATCCCCAAATTCAGCACAAAATTTAAACAAAATGATTCAGTGCTGACACGTTCCAAGCACAATTTCTTAAAATGCTTTAAGAAAGTGATTAAGAGAAACCTAATAATTTGTTGACCCTTCCCATAATATCTGGGGAATCAACAGAGGACTACTTTGTGAGCCATAAGACTCTTACTCCTCCACTAACTGTCCTAATCCACGGAAAGTGAAGGAGGGCTAAAGAGGCCGGAGGGCAGATGGGCACAGGCTTTGACACCAGGTGGATCTCCAGTCTAATCTGCTGTGTGATCATGGGCAAGTCACTTCTTTCCACATCCCCGTTTCCTCACAAGAGGCTGCCACAAGAAGACTTGGCTTCTTTGTGGTAAGGATTAATAAGATAATGTATGCAAAGTGCTTGGTGAGAGGCTGATCCTTACAAAGATCCCTATCAGTGGGATCAGAAGCCCTAGTACACAGGTGCTTGGCTCCCTGTTGAGTGCTCTCCAGAAACTTTTGTGGGGGGACACTTGGGCTGGCTGGGGAAAAGTAACGTGCAGAGGTCACACAGCTTAGCTCACAAAGCAGGGTGTGTGTAGGCAGATGGAATGTGACTGCTTAAATTAAAAAAAAAAAATCCTTCTCAACCCACATATGATGAGCTCCAGCAGAGCTATTTCCAGCCAGGCAGACGGGCACTGGGCTGAGGGGCACAGAGGGGCTGTTGAGACTAAGCACTTGAAGAAAGAAGTAAGGAAAAGGCTCTGGGAGCCACTGCCGCAGCAGGCGCGCTGGGCCTCCCCAGACCCAGCTGGCTGCAGGGACAGAAGGGGAGGCCGCGCAGGGGCAGATCTGCTCCGTACCCCGGGGCTACCCCCTGGGAGCGCCCCGCAGCTCCTGGCGCCTCCCTGCTCCCATCACTCGTGTGCCACGTCACGCAGGTTCCCATGTCCACAAAGAGCCACGAAACCTGGAAAAGAGAGGCCTAAGAGAAGGCAGTTTGTTGTTTTCTGTATAAATAATTTTCTCTCTTTTTGGCCGTGCTGGGTCTTCTTTGCTGTGCGGCTTTTCTCTAGTGGCAGTGCATGGGCTTCTCGCAGCAGTGGCTTCTCTTGTTGCGGAGCACAGGCTCAATAGCTGTGGCTCACGGGCTTAGTGGGATCTTCCCAGGCCGGGGATCAAATCCGTGTCTCCTGCATTGGCAGGTGGATTCTTTCCCACTGAGCCACTGGGAAGTCTGGGTATTTTTATGGAGCTTTGAAAATGCAGCTGGGCAAGACATGGAGGATCAGACATGGGCCTCCTTGGAGCTGGGCCACCGCCTGAGGCGTGCAAACCCCAGCTCACTGAGTGGGGTGCAGGGGCGCTCCTGTCAGTCACCTTCCCCACCAAGCTACCCTCCTGTGTTTAGCTGCTTCATAAACTAAGATTCAAGTTGCCTGATAAAGTAAGCTGGGCCCCAAGAAACTACATGTGGGTTCTGATCATGTAACCAAAATAAGAGGCCCCGGCTGTCACCTGTGCCTGACAGTCCCAGGTTTCATCTGAAGAGACCCCAAGTTCACATGTACTTTACAGGGCCTGGGACCTGGAGGTAACATAAGCCAATGTGTCTGGCTCGATCCAATGGCATCTACCTGAGAATGAGGTAACCTGAAATCCAATCAGATTTATTTCAGTCAGAAATAAAGAATCTGAAGTTCCAAATGGGGTAACATCATTTCCAATACTGCAGCTGGTCAAAAATCCTTTCTGTGGGTGTTTGTTACTGAGCCCTGTTAGGTGCTAGAACTGTTTTACAAAGGTCATTCTTTTTTTTTTTTAAGGTCATTTATTCTTATATTTTGTATTTATTATGGATCTTGGATTAGACAATGTTTCCTTAAAGATTTTTTTTAGATGTGGACAACTTTTAAAGTCTTTACTGAATTTGTTACAATGTTGCTTCTGCTTTATGTTTTGGTTTTTTGGCCATGAGGCATGTGGGATTTTAGCTCTCTGACCAGGAGTGGAACCTGCACCCCCTGCATGGGGGAGCGAAGTCTTAACCCCTGGGTGGCCAGGGAAGTCCCTAGACAATGCTTTAAAATAATTTTCTTAAAAATAAATAAATAAAATAATTTTCTTTTTTAAACCATAAAAGTAACATATTCACTACAGAGAAATTTAGAAAAAAATTAAATGAAAAAAAAAATCATCCAGCAATTCCATCACCCAGAGACATCTACCATCAATGTTTTGATGTGTATCTTTCTAGGCTTCTTCCCATTCAAGGTTTGCTTGCAAACACAAGCATGCACACATGCGGGATGGTTTTACAAAAATGGGATCACACTGGGAAGACGTTATTTTGTCCCTGTTTCTTTTGCTTAATAAAACACAAAGAGTATGTAGTGTCAACCATTACGGACAGAATATCATCCTTTTTGAGAGTCCTACATTCATATTGCATTGTGTTGTGCTGTGCTGAATTGTATTATATTGTATTAATGTACCAGGATTTAACCACTTGGTTAATCACTTGGTGATGATGAATGAATGCTTTCATCTTTTTGGCATGATGAACAACTCTTACAAAAATCTTGAACAAGGATCTTTTCCCACTTATCTGATTATTTATTTTCTTAAGATAAAGTTCTAGAAATTAGATGGCTGAGTCAAAAGACAGCTATTCTATATATACTTCAGAAAGGTTATAACAATCTATATTCCTACCAGTGTTTTCCCACATTTATTTCTGTCCATTTAATAGTGGGAAAAAAACATCTAATTGTTCTGATTGACAAGAATGAGTATTAAACGAGGTTAAATGTCATTCCCCCATTTCACTGGCCATTTGTATTCCTTCTTTGCAAACTGCCTGCTCTTGACCTTTGTTCATTTTTCTACTGGGCTATTTGTCTCTTTTTACTGATTTGAAAAACTTTTACATATTATGGATTTTGCTCTTCCTTAAATATTTGCCCCACTTTGTTGGTTTATTTGTTTTTGCTCAGGAAAAGAGAATGGCACAGTCAGGAGAGTCACCTTGTCCTAGCCCTGTAACCTGGGGTAAGTTTTACCTCTCTGAGTCACAGTCTTCTCACCTATAGAATGTGGCTAACAAGTATACTGAGCTCATCATGTTGTTGAGAGATAATCCAACAATCCAGAATCTACAGCACAGTGCCTGGCACCTAGTATTCGCTAGTACATGTACACATAGTGGTTTCTGATAGTTTTGCTTTGACTTTATTTTATTTTTG